TTTAGTGTTTTGAAGAAATAAGTTATACAAAAAAAAAAAAAAAACTAATTAATCAAACACTCATTGATTGTTTAACCAATTCAAATAGCTAATAGTGGTCAAGCAAGTTAAAATTAGTTGATAAGTTAACTACGTTACCAAATAGATCCATAGTATTTTTCAAAAAAAATCGGTTAATATTATTTGAGAGTTGCATTAAATAAACATCATTTTTAGGTACTAATTCACAAATTATATAAAAAGAAGTAAATAACATTTAAAAACTCTTATGTAATTTATTTGATAAAAAAAATCAAATTCGTGACCGATACTGGCAAATTATTCTATGGACTAGGTTCACCTTGTAAGGTGGACCCGAATCCACAAATTCAAAATTTATATATTGAATGTTTACAATTTTTATATACTAAATGTTCACAATTTACATATTTAATATTTACAATTTACATACTGAATGTTCACAATTTTATATACTAAATGTTCACAATTTACATACTGAATGTTCGCAATTTAAATTTTAAACATTCAATATGTAAATTGTGAGCATTTGATATATAAATTGTGTATTTTAATCCGAATCCATCGTGTAAGATGGACCCGGGTCCATGACATAATTATTGACCGATCCTAATGCTGGTTACTCATTTTAAATTGTAAACATTCAATATGTAAATTGTGAGCATTTGATATATAAATTGTGTATTTTAATCTGAATCCACCGTGTAAGATGGACCCGGGTCCATGACATAACTATTGACCGATACTAATGCTGGTTACTCATTTTAGGGATATTGCTCCATATTTTATGCCCAGTGAATAAAGGGGCAAATTATATCGTGGACCAGGATCTACATTACACTATAGATACTGGTCGAATACACACACACACACACACACACATATATATATATATATATATATATATATATATATATATATATATATATGCGTATTGTGAATATATGAATTTTGTGTATTGGACAGGGCATCCTGATCCACGATATAATGATTGATGTAGAAGTTACAGGGCTATGACGGAAGGCCCACGGTTTTATCTGAACGGTACACCAGTCAAGCCCAATTTATAATGGAAGACTATGAGAGTATTTATTAAATGATCAAATCAATAAAAGTTCACCCCAAAAAAGCCCACCATTTTTTAATTGGTTTGTTACATGGGCTTTGATAATCCCTTTGCTCAAAAGTAATTGTACTATATTATTTATTAAAAAAAAAAAAAAAAAAAAAACTGTTCTTCCTAGTTGTGTCTGCGGTGTAAATTTAAATTCCTAAGGACGAACTTTAAGTGAAGTGTTGATAATTTTTAATGAAACCTTAACGCTAAGGACGAACTTCACTGCTTAAATAATACATAGCAAATAAGTGAAAAGCTAAATATATTGAGATGACATATATAGGTAATGAATGGGTTTGTATAATGTCTCATTGAGTTAATATCCAAAATAGTTTCACAATTATGACATAATTTCCAGTTTGGTTCTTGACTACTTATTCATTCAAAATATTTCATACTAAATTGAGTAAAATCTATATAATCAATGAATCATTTTAAAATTCGTTAGGTGTAACTAACTTTGACATCATTTGAACCGTTGAATATACTTAGACGTATATGGCCAAGCTACCAGCTCGACAGTTCATCCATTAAAAATTATCTTATTGTTTAATTGAACTTCCAAGTCAGTTATCGAGTTAGGATCGGGACCTAGTAGTAATTCTCTAAACAAAAGACTAAATTAGTAATTGTGCCATAACCCAAGCATCACTTTTAATATTGTTTATATTTATGCAATATAATATACATTTAACATGTAATATGAATATATAATTATTATATACACGAGCATGATTATGCTAATTATGATTAATCACCATGCAACAGCCCGTCTTAGCCTCTTAGGTCCTCTAAAGTCTAAAGTAGCATCTTTCTTTTCTTTAATTTTCTTCTCTTTTTAAATTAAAAATAAATCTATCCAGCTTTGTTTTTTTTTTTTTTTTTTTTTGTAATAAAAAAGAATTGAAATGAACAACAACAATGATGTCTCCTATGATGATTGCATGTGTCTAGTGAGTGAAAGATATGTTGGTGTAAGCATCAATTTAATATAAAAATTATTAAAATGATGGATATGAACGAACTAAAGGCAGTGTATAATATGTTTGTGTTTTAATTTACCTCAAATCCAAGTTGGAAAAGCAGTCAATAATAGCTTACCTTTAACACCCACATATTCACCTTTTCCTTTAACTTTTTGTTGTGGTGGCCCCCCTTGTTTGAATTGAAAGGAAAATTATGTATATGATTTTTATAGAGTAAGTTTTTTTATTGCGAATCTTAATAGTAGAGAAAAAATGAATAAAAATATAACTTATTTTTTCTTAAATTAATAACAAATTGGAATTCATATATTATTGCTCTAATTAAAAATGTGTTAGAGTGATGTGAAAGCAGTTGAGTTGGTTAATTGAACTCAAAGCATTATTAAATTAGTTTTTTTTTTTTTTTTTCAAATTTTCAATGTAAGAGCATTTAATACAGATGGGTCATGGGTGGCATAAAAGTTCTATTTAAATAATTTTAAAAATTGCATATTTAATACTATATTTTTTTTTTTGAAAGGAAATTTAATACTATATTTTAAAATCCCTTTTTAAAATTAAGAAGTATATGGGGTTGTTAAATATGAAAATTCATCTTCCATTTTTAATTTCAATCTTTTCACCTTTTGCCCCCACTTTTTCATTCACCAAATGGAAAAAAGGTCAATTTTAGAAAATTGAAACCAAATAGGGGAGGGGGGATTAAGGAGTAGTAAAACAACTTTTGATTAGTGGTTAACTTTTTAAAAGATTTTTTTTTTTTTAATAAACCTCCCACCATTATATGAAGTTGTGCATTAATTATATTTCACTCACGGGGCGTTTGGTTGGAATGAAGAAATTAGGGGGGAAAAGAATTGTAATTCGGTGAGAAAAAAATAAGGTGAGAATAAAGTAGGAATTCAAATTACGTTGGAATTGGGAAGGAAAGAAGTGATATAAAGACTAAAATACCCTTGTGTAATAATAATAGTAATAACAACTAAGGGTAGTAGTGTCATTTCATATGTTTTCCCCTTCTCAAATTCATTGAATTGTAATTCATGGGGGTACCACATGAATTGCAATTCAACAAAAGGAGGGAATTGCAATTTTGTGGAATTACAATTCCCTCCAACCAAACAACGTAATTGAGGCATCCATTGAATTGCAAATCAACTACAGCAAAATTACAGTGAACCAAACGCCCTGTCATTTATAATAAACTAATTATTCAAAAGCCACACATTCATAAATTACACTAAAGAAAATAATTTAGTTCTTTTTTTTTTTTTTTCTTTTAGTGAGATCATGAGGTATTATAAGCAGACTCTAACTGTGACACATTTAAGTTTATATCATACTCAAACTAATTCTCGTGGTAAGAAAATTATGTATTTCTTATAACTACAAAAATAATGTAATCTCCAGCCTTAAAAATTTTCATGTGTACATAGGATGATAGGATTATTCGTCAAATAATTACAATTAAATTTTGGTGTTTAAATATTTGGACTCACTCGATTGGCATGATGCCACATAGCCACGTCATGTCTTGTTAGATTTCTGATCTGATTTGGCATTTCGGCGATTACTTAATTATTTATTGTTGCCACTTGTCAGTAGAGGCGGCCGTTTTTGACATCGCCGTTAAACGCGTGGGTCACACTGTGCCATTTATCTAACCTGACATGAGGGTTTTTTTTTTTTTTTTTTTTTTTTTTTTTTTTTTTTTTTTTTTTTAAACTAACCTGACATGAGTTTGATGTACCAAAAAGCTTGACACTAGTTTGGACTTTGGAGTTATTTTTTACTAAAAAAAAAACAAAAATAAATAATACGAAGTAATAACGCAAATCTCTATTAATTTTATGGGGCGTTGATCGAATGAAATGAATTAGGTGAGAAATGAATTGTAATTTTGATGAATAATGTGAAAATAAAGGGATAATTATTTAAATTTCAGTGTTTAGTTTGCATGAATAGAATTATTGAGAATTTCAATTCAAATATTTGGTATACATAGAGATTGAAAATGAATATATAAATAGCATAAAGTTCAAAATACACATGCTTATTATTATTATTATTATTATTATTATTATTATTATTGTTATTATTATTATTAAATTCAAATTTTGCTTTTGAAAATTTATGTAACACGCTGTAAATAATTTTATAATTGCATAATGAAAGTAATAAAATAGATAAAGAGTTTTAAGAAAACATATTTGATTAAGGTTAACCTATTGATTGATGTTGTGTGTTGAAAGTAGAAAAAGAAGACACTATAATCGAAAGAGACATGTTAAACATCAATTTTAAGTTAAAAAAGATAGGAGTAATTAGTCTCTTTTTTTTTTTTAACATGGAATTGTACTAACATAGAGGGGTAATTAGAGAATTACAAAAAAGAGACATTATACTAGGTTATTTTATGCCACATAACCAAAAAATAGAGGGGTCTTTATACTAATTATATTCAATAAATTTTTCTCATTAACCAAACAATAAAGAATTAATATTTCAAGTAATTTATTTTTCATAAAAATTAAATTTAATTCATTATCAGTTATTTTTCACGAACCAAAATAGGTGTAATAAGTTTAGTAAAAAAATGTAATTAATCACAAGTGTGATGGTGTCCCAATTACTATTCTAAATAGATAGTCATAACTCATAAGATCAAACTTTGATGGTGGAGACTTAGATTATTTGAATAAAAAATATTTGAAAAAAATATAGAACAGATATTACATTCTAAAGAATTATAAGTATTTCAAAAAAAAGAAAGGCCACACAACTATAAGTACCAAATACTAATGATTAAAAGTAGAGGGATCAAAGTGAAATTATACAAAAAATCGTAGACAAATGGGAAAAGAGAAAGAAGTTGATAGGTATGAATTACGCGCGAGGAAGAGAGAGGTTGAGTCAAGTCTTGAATAACGTGAAGGAAAGGCGTTAATGATATGTATATATCTATCTCTGCCCACCGCCATCGCCGCCAGCAGCACCACCACCATTTCCGCCGGGGCGCAGCGGAACTGTCTGTCTCCAACTCACCGCTGCGTGCTTCCCAACAAAACCACACCTAACATTCTAACACCCCATTGTCCCGGAAAGTAGCCTTTTTTTTCACAACTGGGAAATGAATATTACCCATCACTGTTTGTCCTCTCCATTCATAAAGATTCTCTGATCTCCATTTTTGCAAGTCTGGGTTTTTACTACTGAAGTTCAAGGTACATTTATGTTTGTCCCCTGCTTTAAAACTATTTAAAGATGTAATCTTTTCCTCAAATGTCGTAATGAAAATCCAAAAAATGACTGTTTGTTTTTCCTGCTAGTATTATACTGCTGTTTCTGGGTAAAATTCTATTTTTCGTTTTCCATTTCAAAATGATTGGCCTTGATCTGTTCTTGCTATGCTTTCGGGGGTCCGTATAAGACTTTAATGTTGACAAATCCACTGCTTTTCTTTACCTTTCTGCATTTCATTTGTTTGCTTGTTTTTTTTTTTTTTTTTTTCGAGTGTTTTTGGTTTAGTCCATTCTACGTTTTCTCGAGTCTATCAAGAGGGGAAAATTTTCAAGTCTGAAAGCAGACTTCACTTTATTTCAACATCATTGAAATTTGACATTTTTTCTGTTCAGTGTTTCCCTCTTTCGCTTTACAGCATTTTGATTTCACGTTTATGGTTGAATTCTTCATTTTCATGTGATATACTAAGTACTGGTGTGAGTGTGTATGCAATTTCATTTTATGTATCCAAGGCTAATAATTTCTCCTGTAAAAGCAACCTTATGTTCTTATTTGGCTCCTTATTTTGATGTTGAACTATGTAGTACTGGTATAGTGGTATTAGCCATTGTTTTTGAGAGAAAAAAATTAACAAAATTAGGAAAGTTAATAGGATAAAGCAAGAAGGTTTGACTGCTTACTGTTAGAGTGTTAGGTCGTTATCAGCCTTTGTCTTATGGTGTGTTCCTTAATTTTTCACCCAGAATTTCATCCTTTTTGTGGTCTTCTTTGGCTTTAGCTAATATTGGAAGGTGGGAACATGTTTGCATAAAATCTCTCAATTTGATTTGTATAGTTGAGATTCCCATTAGAAGACAAGTGCTCAAGACAGCCTCGTCGAGAGTATCAAACTACCTGCTCACATGCAAGATCTTTGAATCAAAGTATTGGTTGATTTATTTATTTTTCTATTCTTGCAGCATTTCATTTTCATGTGCTTTTTTTTAATAAATATTTGTAATGACTACACAATTTAATTAATTACTGGTTTGTTTTGTTTAGGTGGTTTGGTTATCTGCCCACTTCTTATCCAGTGGATTGGCATTTGACCAAGATAAAGTATAATTTAAGTTCAAAGGAACCATTTTTGCTGTATTGGAATTTTTAAAGTCTGGCACTCTGGCAGTTTTCTAGTCAATAACTGTAAATTAAACTGTGAAAAACTGCTTTGAGATCTGTTTCTTCAAGAAGAAGAGCATTGTTGTTAAGTTAAAGTAGATGGTCTCTTTCTGTGCATAAGCAAATGGGGGGTTGTGTCTCAAGCAGTAGCCAGAGTACTTGTAGTAATAGGAGCAATGGGGAGAGAGGCTCTCCCGAGTGTTTGGGAATAAGCATGTTTGGGCGAAAGAGGACGAGGACATTTTCTGATTCTGTCACTACACTGCACCATTTGTCTTCTATACATACTCGGATTTTCACAAACGGGAGGAGCCGCACTTCTTGTATATTCACTCAGCAGGGGCGCAAGGGCATAAATCAGGATGCCATGCTTGTGTGGGAAGTAGGTTCTCCGTTCTCCTACCCTGCCAATGATGTTCTTTAATGACTTCCGGGGACTGAAAGTTTTGTCCTTTCTATATATTTTGCAGGATTTTATGGCAGAAGATGTAACTTTTTGTGGCGTCTTTGATGGCCATGGTCCATATGGTCATATGGTTTCTCGGAAAGTGAGGGATGCACTGCCACTGAAACTGTTATCATATCTGCAGCCTTGTGAGACAAAGTACGATGGGTCTGGTGCTAATTGCTGCAATGGGAACCCAAAATTGGATGTTGTTGATCCTCATAAGGCAGGCGATGTGGAGGATAAAGTGGACTCTTTGTGGAGGGAAGCGTTCCTTAAATCATACAAGGCCATGGACAAAGAACTGAGGTCACACCCTAACTTAGATTGCTTTTGCAGTGGTAGCACTGCAGTTACTATCGTGAAACAGGTAATTGAAGTAGCTTGTTCTTTTGATCGTCTTCTTATTCGTTTTTTCTATTAGTTAATATTGTCCTACATTTCCCTTCATAAGTATCCACAAGTCCATTTTTGTTTTTATTAAGATTGTATCTTTTGTTGTTTGGTTGTAAGGGATCAAATCTTTTCATGGGGAATATTGGTGATTCTCGGGCAATTTTGGCATCAAAAGCTAGCAATGACTCAATGGTGGCTATTCAGTTGACTGTTGATTTGAAGCCTGATTTACCTAGTATACTCCTCGCTCGTATTAAACTTCTTATTCTACAGGCTCGTTATGTGAATAGTTTTTGATGATCTGGGACATTTTTTTGTTTTGAATAGAGGAAGCAGAGAGGATAAAACGGTGTAAAGGTCGGGTTTTTGCATTGCAAGATGAGCCCGAAGTGCAAAGAGTTTGGTTGCCATTTGATGATGCCCCTGGCTTAGCAATGGCTAGAGCATTTGGGGATTTTTGTTTGAAGGAATATGGAGTCATTTCTATTCCTGAATTTTCTCATCGGGTCCTTACTGATCGAGACAAGTTCATTGTTCTCGCTTCTGATGGTGTAAGTTCCCTTCCTGAAAATTTTTGGTTGTACCCATTCTCTGCTTAGTTGCAATTACTTAGTTGTACCCAGAAAAGAAAACAAAAACCTAGTATGAGGTTGTTAATGTTCTTGTTTGGTTTGCTGCTTTCAAAGGAATGAGATTGTGTCTTAAAGAGTGTTTAAGAAAGGGATTTTTGTCATTGTTTGTGATATCTGAACGCGAGTTATTGCAGGTTTGGGATGTACTGAGCAATGAAGAAGTTGTGGAGATAGTGTCATCATCTCCTTCAAGGTCAGGTGCAGCCAGAATCGTTGTAGAATCTGCAGCCCGGGAATGGAAAACCAAGTACCCAACATCAAAGATGGACGATTGTGCTGTAGTTTGCTTGTTCTTGGATGGGAAGATGGACTCTGAATCTGATTATGATGAACAATGCTTCTCTTCTGCCACCCTGCAGAGCAACCATTCCGGCAATGCTGCAGAATCCGATGATGGGCAGACCTCAGAGCCATCCATGCAGAGAAACTTCACGGTCAGAGCACCAGAAGAAACCGAAAGAGTAGCAGCAGAAACAGGATCGAACAAAGAACGTGTAGTTGCAGAAGATGAGAATTACTGGTCAGGATTGGAAGGCGTCACGAGGGTTAACTCCTTGGTTCAACTGCCCAGGTTTTGTGAAGAGAGGCCATGGCCATAATTTGTAATCTGGTTAAAAAGGTTACCTTTGTTGTTGTAATATATTATATAGTTCTATCTTTCTCACATGTCCTCTATGCCAAATAGTGAATGTATGTTTACTTCTTTTGTGGCATCTGCTGGAGGGACTGCAAATATTTTCTATGTTTTACTGAATTGCTTCATTAATCTCCGTAAAACTTTGCTGATTTTACCAAATTTAGTCCTCTGTCATATGGACACATTGATGATGATGTATACCTGTCGGCCCAAACAAAGGAGAAGAAACGAAAGAGAACATTTATGGATGTTAATAAGTTTGGTGAGTGATATTCTGTCCAAACTGTTTCTACTCATCTAAATTCCTCATACTTTTCAACAACACCATGCATGAATTTTTCTATTATGTCTCTCGCGCATTCACTATAAGTCTATAATTGGTGACAAGAAAATCTCGCCCTTGTGACCCTAACTAATAAAAGATTATAAAAAGATAAATCAACTGATTGTTTCTGTTGGGAATTAAACTTGTAACTAATTTGGTTGGGTTATCCCTAGTCATACTTTTTTGGACTAGAGAAAACTGTAATCGACTACCTGAGAGTGTGCACGGCATAAATCCCGCTCTGTGACCTTAACCAACAAATGATAAGTAAATCAGCCTAGATTATCTTGAACAAACTTAGAGCCTCAAACCAAGAAGGTCAATAGGTCACCCCTACTGAGAGTCAAACTTGTAATGTAATACGTACATGGTAACTAAAATTTTTTGTAAAGAGAACATACATGCAACCACGAAAGGATCGAAGTTGATGATCATGCATGGATATATGGGATGAAAAGAATGAGAGCATTTATGGGCTGTTGAAAGCTGATATTGAGAACCAAAAAACACGTAAAACATGATAAATTCTTGTTGTACCATTAAAGGTAGGGCAAATAATTAGCTAACATCTCCACTCTCCAATTCATCAGTATATAGTCTTTGTGGAACACCATCTCTTTAATCACCGCCAAACTCCCACCCAACTACCATCTTCAATTCTTTTTCCCCCTATATATTCTCACCGAATCTCCCATCACTTTGCTCATCCTGCACTTATCCACTCTTCTGTCTTCTCTCAAGCTTCATCAATGGCGGTAACCCTTCGTTTCATCTGTGCTTTCCTTTCCATCCTCGTACTTTCCTCTTCACACCCTGCATTCGCAGGGCGTGGCATGCCAAACGCCGACTCCAAGAACGTGGCGGACAAGAAACAGCCTGAGTTTCTTCTCTACGACGGAACTGTCCTTATTCCTGGGTTTGGCCGTGTCGTTGTCCCTCACAAGAAAGTAGATCCCTTTAACTATAACCCCGTCACCGGCAGAAGTGGCGCTGGAACTGGAGCCATCAACCCCATCGACGACATTATTGGTAGTGGAAATGCTGCCGCCGGTTCCACCTATATTCCCGGTAATGATGATACTATCATCCCTAACCCCGGTTTCGAGGTCCCTGCGGCGGGTGGCGGCCTACCAACTCCGCCCGCTCGCCATTGATGACGTTATCAGCTTCTTTCATTTCTTGGTTCATCGTTAATTTAGTTTGAATAAGCAGGCGTGCATGGCGTACGCCTGGTTTAGGATACTAAGCATCTGTTTTGTTTTTTTTTTTCATAGTTCAACTATGTATTATTTCCGTTTAAGATTGTATTTTAGACATGGTACCTTGTTGTATGTTGAGTTATTATTATCAATAAAACTGTCTTGTTTAATATTTCATTGCTTCGAGAACCCCACATGCACCTTGACTATGACAAAATTTTGGAGGTGCAAATCACGATAACTCAAAGACTCATTAGGTAGAAGGACTAAAGTCTGGTGTCCACAAGGAGCCACCGCACGGTGAAACACCCGGCCACAATCTTATTGCATCTTTACTTATAATTTGCCACCCAAGAACCAACTGTGCGATCATCTTAATTTCAATCTTCATTGCCATTATTAGTTTATAACTCGTAAATTTTATCGTACTTTTTTTTTTCCGAGTGAGGTGATATACTTTGGACATGGACGTGCTGTTAAACATATAATAGACTCCATACACATAAGAGCATTTTAAGCATATAATATATAAACATAAAAACATAAATATGCATTTTATCAATTTAGATTTTCAGTTAAGATAAAATACAAACCTAAGAGGAGTTATGTATACATAAGACAACATCTACATTCTGCATGGAAGATTAAGAAATGCAAGTCTCTCTCTCTCTCTCTCAATATATATATATATATATATATATATATATATATATATATATATATAGAGAGAGAGAGAGAGAGAGAGATCATAAGAGAATACACGCTCAGGTATGGACATACACCACATAAAATTACACTTGAGAACGTGTACACCTTATGATATGTAAAGGAGCGTGTCCACTTTGAAGTTTTGCGCGTTGCACTTTTAGAGTCCACATATTCGCACATGGGACCATTTTCACATGATCTTGCCCTTGCATATATATAAAATCAAGAGAAACATAACATCTAAGGATACTTTATTCTACCAACTAGGAAAATGCCTGCTAAACTTAATTTTCATGGAAAAGACTTTCTAAACTATATTTTCATGGAGAAGACAGAGAAATTAGAATTGACAATCAAATAATCTCACAATATATACAACAATAATAAAGGCCTGTAATGTTAGGTAGCATATCCAAATCAGAAATCAATCCCTGCCCTGCCAATTTAATTCCCTTGGTATTATCAGACCAAGCTCTTTTTCAACATTAATATAGAGATCACTCTCTGTGTCAATATCATTCCAGGTTGAACATCTTAATCTGCAACCTCATATTAAGAATTTCTATTCTTGGTTTACACATGAAAAAGTTAAGGTTTAATAAGGTTTAAAGGTCCACATCTCTCCAGATTAAGTTATCCATCTGTTTTTCCTGATACAAACATATAATCAATTAGTCCCCTACCGAACAAGACGTGTTATAATCAAATCAAAATTTCAGTTATAGCAGATATGGAGTATAAATTTATGGCTCATAGCCTGATACTAGCGACTAACCAACTACAAATCTTCTCAAGAACTCAGTTTGGATCTTCGTTTGACAGAGAAATGCTTAATTATCTGTCATTATATGGAAAAGACAAGACACATGCAAAAATGAGAACTTTAATGGTGAACAAGAATGATCTTCAGTTGGAAGTTATGAAACCTGCTACTTTTTGTTTTACTTGTGTTCTTTTATGTTAGAAGTAAAAATGTCAGAATGATGTCTTCCAGCATATATCCTAGGTAGTGGCTCTTCATTCTTAATGAGTGATATGATGTCCTTTAACATCTGAGGTACATGCCTTATGTGGCCAGCATGCAATTCTAAAAAAAATATTCTACTTTAAGAATTTCACATCATAACAGGTACAAGAATTGAGCCTCTTAGCTGTCATCTAAACAGTAAAAATGAATATGTAACAAACAAGAATTAACTTCAATAATACGAGGGAACCCAGATAGAGGAAAACAGTCGTGCCAAAAAGAAAAGTGAAGAAGTTCTCATTGCGCAGATAATCAATGATTATTATAGTCAAATAAATTAAAACAATTACTAATTTGTTTTGAAGGAGGAAAAGAAAAGGGTAATTGAAGCTTGTTGATTGCCTAGAGGCCATGATAACTGGCAAATAAAGTATAAGAATAGTTTTTGCACCGACGATTATCTATGATTTGAGGTGCAATGAATGAGGATAATAAATAGCACCACCTACTAAGCACTACCTTTTACTTTGGCACTATTAACTCCACATGTTTGTAGGACTAAAAGGTTGTAAATGCTAGCGAGAGAAGTTAGCTAAGACATTAGTGGTCACCTAAAGTAACATACATTTCATTATCAAGCGTATAGTTGCTCTCGATCTAATGACAATGATCATTAACTTTAATATCCAATAAACGACGTGGAGTCCAGCAACAAGCCAACAAATCAATCACATTACTAGGATAATAATCAACATATCCTTTTCTTCAATCAAATTAAACAATCCAATGCTTTGAACGACTAAGACACGATTACTAAATACCTATCCTTGTTCCAACAATTCTCCATCACAACATTAATGTTCTAAAACATATCAAGAATATATATATCACAATGAACGTGCTTCTCTAATTGTGACGGGCAAATCTCATTCAGGTGGTTATCCAAATTTATAAAAGCAAGAGATCGACAAGTTAACATCATACTTAATAGAAACAATATATTCAATCTGCTTTCAATGTTTCTCAATGTGTTTAGAAGAAGTTCCCTATCATGGCTCTAGGATATGCAACAACTCAAATCACATCATTAGGATAGTAATCAAGATACCCTTTTTTGGACAGCTCGGACAAGATTTCCTAATACCGTAAGAAAGCTCATAAGTTAGTGTATTGTGTCTAGAGAAAACTAGCTCATAAGCTAATTATGCTAATCCCATCTACCACTTGTGAATGAGTTATGCCAAACACACACACAATCGTCAAGCTTACGTAATTTTACTGCATTAAACACCCAACTAAACATGCCCCTCCACAATAAAATTTCCAGTACAAATCACTATCTGACAGTCAAAACTTCCATCTCCATATATATAACATTCCTCCAGTTCGTACTCTATTAATGCTATGAACTAAAATTCAATTCTAAATGGGCATCTTTTATTTATTCTTTCACAAGTGACAAGCCTGGCACCGTCATACAAAAAAAAGTTAAAATTTACCTAACCCAAATGAAACGAAAAATAAGGGAAATGAAAAACACGGGTAACCCCTCATTCTATAAGCAGATTTCCAGCAAAGGATCGGAACAGCTAAAGATCAGAACTTTAATTAACCTCTTCCGGCCAGAAAATGGATATTATAAACAACTGAAAATTGTGCAAAATATACAACGGGGCACTGTAAAACGGAAACAAAATTAACAAAAGAGAAGTATTTGTGAGAAGTACCAGGTTGAGTCCAAGTCCGAAGATTTTGACGAGGATGAAGCAGAGGATACATAAGAATAAAATGAGAAAGAAAATAATGGTGCCAGTGGATCTGTGGCACCTTGTTACCTTCTTTGTTCGTTTTGATGGCTGCTCGTACCGTTCTACTGTTCTAGTTCAATCCAATGCGGCGAATCGGCGATGCAATGCAAGGTGCTGTTAACGGAGATTGTAATTAATTACTGTACTGTTTGGGTTGGTACATAACACACACACACAATCGTCAAGTTTTTTTTTTTTTTTTTTTTTTTTTTTTGAAATAAGGTTCAAATTGGTCACTGAACGTAACTTGAAAATGCAATTAGGTCACTGAACGAACAAAAAATGCAATTAGGCCACTGAACACTCCAAAAACGTGCAATTAGGCCACTAAACTCTCCAAACGTATGCAATTTCACCGGATAACAGGTTATCATCAATTTTAGCAGGTTACCTGCTTACGTGGCTGCTGAATTTGACATTTTTAATAATTTTTAATAATTAATTTTAATAATAAATTTTATAAAAAAATTGAAAAAATTAAATAAAAAATAAAATAAAGTCGTTTTTATTTTTTAAAAATTTTTTTAAATAAAAATTTATTATTAAAATTTATTAAAATGGCCAACTCAGCTGCCACGTAAGCAGATAACCTGCTAAAATTGAGGGTAACCTGCAATCAGGTGAAATTACACATTTTTGGAGTGTTCAGTGACCTAATTGCATTTTTTTTTCGTTCAGTGACCTAATTGCATTTTCAGGTTACGTTCAGTGGCCAATTTAAACCTTATTCCTTTTTTTTTTTTTTTTTTTTTTTTGTAGGTGATATGAAGAACTCGTAACCACAATCTTAGTAGTTTGAAATAGCTTAATTGGGTATTGCTTATGTAGGCATATTGTTGTGGTAAGTTTCACTCGTAATTTTATTCACACGTACCAAACAATAAATTTTAAATTCCTACTTTGTGCATTTTTCATGAAATTGTATATATTTTTTCCCCTAACTCCTTTATAACCTGTTTGGTTCACGGAATAGGCCGGGAATGACATAGCATTCCCAGGACTTATTCTTTTGTTTGGTAACCGTTTCTATTACCAGGAATAATATTCCTAGCAATAGCCCATTCCCCCAAATAAGGTAATAAATATTACCTGCCCCTGGTATTAGGCTATTTTTGAGTTTTCAATAATAGCCTAAAGTTTCTATTTTCTATTTTACCCCCAATTAAATTTATTTCATATTTCACCACCGTCGTCGCCGTCACCACTACCCCACCACCCCCACCGCCACCAGCACCAGCCCCACCGCCACCATCATCGCCACCGCCACTAGCACTAGCACCCCACCAAAAGTATATTCAATATTAATATTGTTTTAATCGTCTTAATGAGATCTTTCAAATGATATAATTTTTTAAAAATAATATACAATTTATGTTTAAATATTTAACAAAATATGTAAACATATAAAAACTAAAAAGGATACAAAAGGAATTATAAAAGACGATAAAGGGCAAAGTAGGGGCAAAATAAGAAGAAAAAAGTGGTACAGAAAATGGCATGGATGAACAGTGTTGTGCCATATATGGCGCGATACTGTTCATCAACACCAAATTATTTGGTGTTTTGCTGTCCCATTGGAGCCCTTCTTTTGCCGCTTTACGCCAATTTTTTTTGGCGATTTGGTGATATGGCGTTGGGTTGGAGATGATCTAACCAAGAAGGGAGAGTAACTAATCAATCGTTATGTTGTTGAACCGTGTCCATCTTGTAAGGTGGACACGGTTCTATATTTATAATTACTGAATTATATGTTCATAATTATAAAGCTATATTTCATAAATTTTGAGCTTCATATTCATAATTATTGAACTCTATATTCACAATTACAGAACTCTATGTTCATAATTACTCAACTATATATTCATAATTTTTGAACTTTATATTCACAATTATTGAATCTCTATATTCATAATTACAGAATTATATGTTCATAATTATGTTCACAACTCTATGTTTATAATTTTTAAACTATATATTTATAAGAGTTTTTTGCACTTTTAGTCCCACGACTATAGTGGCACTGGCAGAATTGATTCACGACTTTTGAACCTTGCAATTTTAGTCCACGACTATTGATTTTTTTTGCAAAAATGGTCCTTCTGGCCACTTTTTCGTCAAAATTTCACCAGGAAAAAAAAATTCTCTATTTTTAGTCGGGTTAAAATTGACATTTTACTTATCTCAAAAAATTAAAAGAAAAAAATTGATATTTGACTACATACAATATTACTGGGCTACATACTACTGCCCCAGGCGGCGGAGTACATGTACCACTCCAATGCTGCTGCCGGAGCCCGGGGAACGCCACGACCGCTCCGCCGCTTACTGATAGCCCTGCCTGCTCCAGGAACTCCGCCGCCCAGTAATATTGTATGTAGTCAAATATCAATTTTTTTCTTTTAATTTTTTGAGATAAGTAAAATGTCAATTTTAACCCGGCTAAAAATGAAGATTTTTTTTTTCCGGTGAAATTTTGACGGAAAAGTGACCGGAAAGACCATTTTTGCAAAAAAAATCAATAGTCGTGGACTAAAATTACAAGGTTTAAAAGTCGTGGATCAATTCTGCTAGTGCCACTATAGTCGTGGGACTAAAAGTGCAAAAAACTCTATTTATAATTATGAACAATTTTGGAACTATGATCACCTTAAAAAGGTGGATACGATTCCACAGAATAATTTGCCATAACCAATACCACACACTTGATACTTGATAGCAAGGAAATGGGTCAAGACTATTAAATGGACCTCATGTATCCCCTTTGGACATTATCAATTGGTTCATTACAATACTCAAATCTTGGTAATTACTTGCGTTAACATCTAACTCATAGACCTGTGTTTTGATCATATTGAGTCCAATATTAGTCATACCTTATTAGTTGGGCTTTGTTATTTATTTATTTATTTATTGAACCATTATACGCATTATTTTGGGTATGGCCCCAAGTAATAATATTATTATTGTTACCCCCCACTTTGTATATACATACATGTTTTACGATGGAACTGGTTCTCATAAAGCATTGTATATACATGAGAATTAGAAGGAAATAAGTAGTAAAAGATCAAAAAGATCACAACTTAAAAAGGATTGCAGTTTTCACCTTTATAATTTTCTTATCAAAATTGCCTCATGTTTATTTTTATATGGTATGTTTAGTGTTAATGTTCTTAAATTTTACTAAATTTAAGATTATTAAAATGATTTGTGATTATAAAAAAATGTTAAGTCAAATAAAATTATCTTACCAGACATATTGTGCGGCTTTTCTAGAAGTAAGATCACAAGGTCGAATCTTGGTGATGGGGTATTACTCTTTGAACTGCAACAAATAGAGAAAGTATAAAATATATACTACCTTGTAATCAAGTCAATACTACACAAAATAAAATTATCTTAAAAAAATTTAATTGAATTAGTTGCAACCAAAATGTTACAACATATAAAATCCGGAGTGCAAAATGTCCACACCTCCCTCATGGGAAAAAAGCAACAAAGATCTTTTTGCCTGCTTCTCAAATGCATATTTCAGAAGAAAGAGACAAAGGATGAAGAGAAACCTGAAAGGAAAAATGGAAAATGGCGAACGGGCCACCGGGTGAAGAAGATAAATTTGGAGAAGGAAAAAAAGGTCCTACCGAGAATTGAACTCGGGCTATCGGATTCAGAGTCCGATGTCCTAACCGCTAGACCATAGAACCTTACTGGTATGGTCTCCCAACCCTGAATAAAAAATTTAAAAAGAGTAAGAATATCAGCGCCCATCACCACTGTTCACTCACTGTCTATAACGTGGGAAATCCTCAAAAACCCCTTTCACACCATTGCTGCATTCTTCGCATACAGAGGTCCTGCTCAGGTTATCAGCCAATTTTGTTGTATTTTTCTTGACGTTCGACATGCTTTCTTAAAATACTGATACGGTTTATGGATTATATTATTGGGCCGGGAAGCAAAGAGGGTATGCTCATAATATGAATGCTTTGCGTTTTTTATAGCGATTATATCTGCATGTAATGATGTAAATAGAATTATGGATGTTTTTGGGAGGTTCATAGATATGGAGTTGAGAAATGTGGATCCTGATCAGTGATCAGATTACTTATGCGACCCTAATTTGGGCATGCTATTATCTGTGGGATTTTGATTATTGCCTGTGATTTTATCATGAAATGGTGCAAAAAAAGTGTAAGATGTGCCATCATATGCTTATAGTTTAGTGATTTGAGGGCTTTATGGAGATGGTAAGCTTGTTAAGGGGCATGCTGTTTTGGAAATTATGTTCAAGAAGGGTTGTAGACCAAATGCTGTGATTTATACTGCCTTGATTAAATCATATGTGAAAATTTCAAACTTGGACGAAACAATGATGCTTTTTGATAGAATGCATGAGCGGATAACAAAGGGTGTTAGCCTGTTGAATTTACATATGGGGTTGTTTTAAACCGTTCTTCCATGTGTGGGAGATTGGAGGAGGGGATTGAGTACTGTCAAATAACAATATAGCTGTCAGTGCCATATTTCAATCAAGTTTAATTGATTGTCTTGGGAAGATAGGGAGAGTAGGTGAGGCTAAAAAGCTCTTTGAGGAAATTTGTGAGAAGAGGAGTCCTTCTGATTCTTATAGTTATAATGCACTAATAGATGCCTTAGTTTAAAGTGGAAAGATTTACAAAGTCTTAATGCTTTTCAGGAGAACAAAACAAGAAGCTAAGGTTGTGAGCAAACTCTGTGTATATACACAATTCTAATCAATGGTTTGTTTTAGAGGCATTGACATTGTGGGATACAATGATTGATAATAGTACAATCAAGTAGCTGCTTCATTATCTGCTGCGCTTTGTCTTTCTTGCAAAGTGGCTAGAGCTTTTAAGATTTTGGGTGAGCTGGCACCAATGGGTATTTACCTAGATAATGCTTTTGAATATATGACTAACGTTTTGTGCTAGGCTGGCCAGATTGAAGAGGCCTACAAGTTAGCTGATAGAATCATTTGGTTGTGGTTGAGAAATTCCAGACAGAGTTTATGCTTTTTGATAAATGCTACAAGGAAAACAGGGAATGTGGATTTAGCATTAAAACTGATGAGTAGTAAAATTGGCAATGGATATGACAGGATGGGTAGCATTAAAAAAAGGTGTAAAATTTCCAGTTCTGGTAGACAAGTGAGTTTTGAGCTGGGGATTGAGGCTGCATGGACTTAGATGTTTTATAACTGATGCTTTTTAATGCTCAAGATTGTTCATAATTCTCTAACTATGACAAATTTCTGGCGGCTTCTTCCAGTCATGGTTATCATGTCCAGAGTTTGGGCAATCCTTAAAGTTTCCAATTGAATTGTGTGTTTGTTCTAGTCTTTGGAACACTGAAGATATAAGTTCACTACTAGAATACATGATGATCAGATGATGTGTTGATTATATAAGTGACTAAAATCCTTGAATTCTTGGCTATAGTGCTAGACCTGACAGTTTTCAGAAGACACTTTCAATTATAACTCTTAAGATTTTAAATTTATTGGAACAATCCTAATCACTGTTTCAAGCAGTGAAAAAAATGAAAGTTGTGCACTAAATCTATGAATTTGAGAACCAAATTCAAATTAAGCCTAAGTAAGCTGACCTTTTCTTATCAGGATGCAGAAATTAGCGTTAGCAACTGTTTCAATATTTTTCTGACTGATGGCACAGTGTGATTCATCTGGGCTATTGATCAGAGTAAGCCCACTTTGTAGGTGCCCTAAAAAATATGGTCTTAAGGAGTTTATTCGCACAGGATCCCAATCCCCTTAGTACTTACTAGTGGAAACTCAGCCATGGAGGTATTTCTTTAATTTGCATCTGAAATTGTCAAATATTCTGTAATTTTTTTCTGCTGATCAAATGGCTTAGTTTTCAGTTAGCTTCTAGAGCCTCACATTCATTAAGTAAAATCATTATCATACAGGCTCATCATCCTTATTTGGTGTTCTGGACAATCCTAATGAAATTAAGCAATATGGTTCCTGGGGAGTTGAACTGTAAATAGTAGTCTGGGTAGCAAATGGAAGGCCAATCTTATTTAAAGTACATGGGCTAAAATGCTTGTAAATTTCCTTGATTATTAGGCTTCTATATAGGCCAACTTCAACAAGCTAGGCGATGACTAGCATATATCAGGTTTATTTGAGCTGTGGACTACAGTGTTGTCCTTCAATTCATTATTTTCATCAGGAGGCTCAAAATTTCTCTTGGTATACTTTACTTCATATAGATTGTTAATGATTGATCAAAGGGGAATCACTACTTCACATCTTTTCATCTTATAAATCTTGTATCCTTTTCATCTTATAAATGTTGTATCCTATGATGTGGGGCTTCAATTCTGAAAATATTGTGGCCTTTCCACTACGTGGGCCTATCATGTGTCTTGGTTTTGTACAAAAATTTATGTATATTCTCTTTCAAATGGTTGGCTCTAGTATGCAACTGTCCTGCAACATCCAAAGTTTGGTGAAGTACACAAAACTGCCTCTGTTTGCAGAGAGGTCGTTTCCAAGGTTTGAACCGCTTAATGGCCAACGTGGAACACTTAGGCACCACATGATTCCCAACCTTCTATCTGTAGGAAATAGATATTTTGTGAATGGCGGGGTTAAATTTTGCCTCTTCTTATAGGACCCCAATAATGGTGCAACTTGATTAAATTGAATGCATTGTCCCAGAGGCGTCTGTACGTGGCCTGTTCCTTTTTGCTGGTTCTGGTAGTTTGTGCATCTTGTTTTGTCTCCAATCTTATTGCTGTTTAAAGCGTAACTTTAAAAGAGCATTGTCTTTATTGGTGTTTTTACCGTGTTAATATATATGTGCGTGCCTTCTGGTTCTTACCTGATTTTTCTAGCATATGATTACTGTGATTAAAAGATCCTTTGATCAATTTGATGGATAGTTGTACTTGCTTCATTTTTGCCACATAAAATCTTGCCTGTCTTGGAATTGCGGAATTTTAAGGTCCAATTTGGGTTGTGAACTCTGGGTATTAATTACTGCTAGTTATTACTTTGGAATTATTCAGTCACTGATTGCACATAGGCATTGATTCAGGTCCCAACAGAAATGATGACAGGATTATCATTGTTTAGGTTATCGATGTTACTGAACATGATGAAACACCACTTTATATGGAAATGGGGATGTAGGAGCCACGGTACATTCGGGTGACAATTACAGCATTATCGTGCAAATGTCATGTCTTCATCTCTAGTGCAACTTAGGTTACCTTTGGGGAAGTGGAAGCTATTTGTCATCATCACTGTCGGGGACCGTTATATGGTAACATTATGTGAAAGCTCATGTAATATCTTTTGTTCTATTACATTATTATCAAAGGAGGTACATTGAGTAGTGCCTATCTTCTTGCTGTATGCTCCCTTTATATTTCTGTGGTCCATGAAATAGAATCATATCATGATATGATATGAAGCTCTTCCCACTCCCAGTAACTGCAGCTAACCGGGGATGCAGAATTTGATCTTTTTTCCCTTGATAGAGATAATTTGATCTTGTTGTTTGCGTATTGTGCAGAACTTGCTTTCAAATAGGGAGAACCGGAGAAGTGTCACTGTAATGGTGCCGGTTTTGCATGTAAGTTGTCCTATCTACAACATTTGCTACACACAAAACACATTCATTCACCCATGAATTAAGTTGCGGAATATCTCTTCTTGCACACGTGGATTTCGTGAATTGAAGCTTGAAGGTGATGCCATTTTTTATTTATTTTTCCTAATCTCATAACTTTAAGTGGGTGTTAGAAGGCCTTCCCAGATTCGAGAAATCCTTTGAAATTGACTACCAAAACTGTTGTCCCAGTTGTGAGTCACCAACATTATGTGGCAATGCAGATGTCTTGCCTTCATTCTCAACAGGAAGTTGACAAGTATTTCCTACCATACCAGATATAAAGCTAAATATGGTAGAAACTCGCTAGCCGGGGGGGCCAAAAAGCAAGCACTAAATAGTAGTAGACGACACGGTGTCTCTATGTACCGCTAAAATTTTAACCGGGTTTTTTCAATGTTTTCAGATTTGGTGAGGCAAAGGGGATCATGCTAGATACTCCTGTTCTTGGATTTAGCCAAAGATTCTGTACGCAAAATGCTGGGAGCAAAATTGCCATAGTTGAAACAACATCATATCCTGCCAATTCTTGTTACTGTCATTGTCCTTAGCACAGGGTTCGAATCCCCAATAGGCCGTAAAAATCACAGTCTCGTCTCGAGTCGACTCATTAAGTTCGGGGTTTCGTCGGAGAAAGGAAGCAAATCATGCATGGGTGTGAGTTGCTCACCGGCTGGGGTATTTGGGTGGTTGTCAATTGGTGATCACTTAATTTTTATTTTATATTTTTATCATTTCTCGTTGTGGCCAGACAAAAATGACAAAAAAATTAAAATTGAGTTCAACCATTATCACAGCTTTAATTGCATATTTTATGACAATATTGTTGATGTGACATGTTGATTGATCACTTATCAATTTATAATGACTCATCATCATAATTATGCACTTCATTATTTACAAACTTTTAAGATGTAATCCCTTATTTATGACAATATAGCATTAGCCGACATGATATGTTGATTTAATAAAGATTTGTATAATCTTTCTTTTGATTTGCTATTTTTTTGTTTGTATTGAAAGAAAAAAAAAAATCATGAGCTTATACAATAGACAAGAACATTGTACCACAGTTGAAGAAGGAAGGCTCAATCTTATATTTTGTAGAGGGAAGGCTTCAATCTTCTATTTTGTAAATGAACTACCGAAACAAAATAGAAGTTAAAATCGTAACTTATTTGAAAAGTTAAAAGTATTTATTGTTTTTTTTTTTTAATCTGAAGGAGGGGGTTACCCAAAACTAAAAGTATTTATTGTAATGAAATAATAGGGACTAAAACGATTAATATGGAATTATTAATGAACTGAAAATGATTTTCCTCTATATAATTGTGATTGCAGACCGCAGTGGACATAATACCAAGTTCAAGTCAATCTTTGGTCGTGTAATAATTTGGACCTTAATAAACTAAAATCTACGAATGCGTTAAACTAGTGGATAAGGTGATTGCGCAATCGTTATATCGTGCAACAGGGTGTACATAGCAAATTAGCAATGTGCACCCTGCACCTTCAAAACGAGTTGTTTTGTTAGTTTCAAGTATAAAATTCTGTGCATTCTATTATATAATTTTGTACATTCGAAACATGAGAATTTTCAGTTATAAAATTATGTGTTTTTAGGTATAAAATTTTGTACATTCTATTATATATTTCTGTACATTCGAAACATGGATTTTTTTAAAGAGTTAAGAGTTTATGTGTATTATGTTAATAGTTTATGTATATTATGTATTATGTTAGATTATGTGTATTATCTTTTCAAAAAAGATTATGTATATTCAGTTATAAAATTATGTGTTTTCAGATATAAAATTCTGTGTATTCTATTATAAAATTTGTATATTCGAAACATGAATTTGTTTTAAAAAAATTAACAACAAACACGTAAAAAAGGTACAAAACGATATCGTTTTGGATCAAAGGCGCAAAATGGTGCACGATATAATTTGCCGTGATTGCGCGCGGAATATAACTGTGGGGTCACTGAAATTTCTACACGTGCTTCTATCATCCTATTGCAGTATTGTGGTCACTACACACTAGTGAGTGGCATGATAAATCAAAAATTAAAAATATGCCCTAATAATAATTTTATAATAATATCCTTACTTATACTACTTTATTATATATCGGTAATAGAATAAAGATTTTTAAAAGCATTCATTCTTCATCACTGCCATTAATATTTACGTCAAAATTTTATTGAATTATAATTTTTTTAAAAATTAAACAGTTAAGAGAATACAACAGCAATTATTTATAAATTATAATACTAGTTTAAAGTTGCTGAATAATAGATCATTTAACTCAAAAAGTGTAATTTGGTTCTTGTATAATTCAAAATCGTGTAATTAAATTGAAAGTTTAATGTACTCCTTATTGTCGACTAACAAAGTTTTTAAAAATAATTTTTAATATATTTTAATAATTTAAAATTAAAAACTAATTTCAAAATATTAATAGGCGGTTGGTTTTCTTATTTCCTCCCTATTAGGAAAAAAATATTAATATTAATGATTATTAGGTAATAATAACAAATATTAATGATATTTCAATTTATATTTTTTGCTATTGATTTTACTCTCCAACGGTAGAAAATCTCTTCTGAGCATGATGTAAATTTAATTAACACTTAATTTTTTCAAACACACTTTTAACACCAATAACATATTTTAACCTTCAAATTAATTTGTTATTTTCGTTTTCTCAGCTATTAAATCATAATTCAAGAGGAGAAAGTTAAAAAATTCACTATCTCAGTTGAGCCTGTCCACATGGTCTTCTTAGTACGACTTATCTCTCATGTATGGTTTATATGCTATTACACATGAGAAAAATAGTAAAATTTTGCTCCAAAAAGGGTAGCCAAGTGGGTGGAGCATGATTCTCGTATTTAGGGTCTTCATAATGCAGTTTACCTTTCTTGTGTGGCTTATGAACCATTACACAAGAGCGGAGTTTACCCAATGCACATTCGATTTTAAGTAGTGACTGTGAATTTACCCGTATTTTTTTTTTTTAAAAAAAAGTAGTAGATGATCATGTTGATGGATCCGACCTACAAGTTTGTATTGTTTATTATTCCTTTACACATTTTACATGCTGAACTTAATCTATTTCGCACATGATGGCCACTATGGTTTTGAAAATTCCTTTTTTATTGGCCTTTAATTTGTCTCCTTTTCCTTTTCTCTTTTGTGCTTATTATGAAAAGTTATGAAGCAATCTTTAATGTTTTCTTTTTGCAAGCTTTCTAAGCTCAAATAGTAATGGGTGTCTTTATTTGTACGTTATGGTTTAATTTTACATATAATGAATTCGGTTAATGATAGCAAAGTACAAAACATGTGTGAGTGATGAGCTAAAAATGACTCATTCCTTTAATTTGCCTATGCTTTCTCTTCTATTTTTGTATATATGTTCTCCAAACACATTTATTACATAAACTTCGTTGTTTATTATGTATGGCAGTCAAAGCATTCCAAGAGTAGGGCAATTGTTGTTAATTCGGTTAAATAATTTGGTGATTAATTAGTGAAAGTTTGTCAAAGGCCTTGTGGTCGAGTAGATATAACTGTGGTCCCTCAAATGAGAGGTCTCAAGTTTGAACTTCAGTGGAGGTCTCAGTTTGAACCCCAGTATAAGAGTGTTGACTCTTTGTATTTCAATAGTCTGAAAACAGACAACACTAACAACCAACAACAATGGCATGTAGCTGTAAAAAGAGAATAATAATATGATTCCCGCCCCCTCTTTGTACTTCAATAGGCTGAAAACAGACAACATTAACAACCAAACAACTTTACAAAAACACTGTAAAATAAAAGAGAATAATAATATGATATCCGCCCGAAATTCATTATGAGCAATCGAAGGTTGAGAAAGTATGTAAGAACATGATTCCCGCCCTAAATCCCCAAATTCATTATGAGCAATCGAAAGTTGAGAAAGTATGTAAGAACATGATTTTCGAGTTGAGAAAGTATGTAAAAACATGATTCCCGTCCTAAATTCATTATGAGCAATCAGATATTACAGCGTAATTAGTGTATAATTTATTGTTTACTGCTAAGTCCGGAATTGAGGCCGGGCAATTAAGGACGTCAACAGTGCACTCGGTCGGTCATGTGCACCGGCCAAGGACGTACAACAATCTTATTGCTCATGAATTGTGTGATTCATATATTCTTGACCCACACTCTTTATTTAATTCACCACTAGGTTTGATTGTTGTTTTGGACATATCAATAATAATTCAACTTTAGGTTAGAGGGGCCATTCCTATATATATATATATATATATATATATATATATATATATATATATATATATATATTGGTGTTTCTTATATTGTTTAAGAAATTTTGGTTAGTGGTCTCTCATATTGGTGTTCCTTATCTTGGAGATATCCATACGATTCTCTCCAAGGATTTCCAAGATTCCATTAGGTGGCCTGGCTCAATAATATATCATTAACACATTAGTTAGCTAGGGAGAAGAATGCATTATCCTAATGAGCTTATTGGTATAAAAATTTGGATTAGTTTGGTTAGTTGAATACACATGCTCGTATATTGACTGCGTGTTTCTCTTGTCATTCAAATATATCTTTTAAAATTAAAAAGTTACAACATTAGTTTGTAACTAGTTCAAGGATGGAGTAGTGGGACAACTTTTAGAATTCTAATAATGTCCTCCAAACGAATGTCTCTTTCTAGATTAGGTCATTTGATATAGGCTAAGAGTACCGCTTGGACCATATCACATGGGCTATGAGCCTTGATTTGATATAATTCAAGACGAATGGTCCAAATCTTTATCTTACTAGATTATAATGGGATTAAATTGAATCTAATCTCTTTCTAGATTAGGTCATTTGATCTAGGCTAAGAGTACCGCTTGGACCATATCACATGGGCTATGAGCCTTGATTTGATATAATTCAAGGTGAGTGGTCCAAATCTTTATCTTATTAGATTATAGTGCGACTAAATTGAACCAGATATCTTTTCAAAAAAAAAATTGAACCAGATATGATATTTATATTGGCCATAATAATAATAATAATAATCAATTGAAATGAATTTTTGAAGATATATGGTGAAATTCATTGATATCTATCTAGGCCCTAGGGAGCTAGGTATAAAGGAATTAAAGTCGCATGCAGATGGAAGAGACCCAAGAGAGTAAATTTTATAATTATTGAGCATATAATATAATAAATAATAGTGAAAGGAAAGGAGAGAATGGGAAGGATGCTTAGCTGTCAAGTTAATGGTTTTTGTCTCTTCTCCACTCTTCTCCGTCCATTATATCCCAGTAAAGAATCTGTCTCTTTCTCCCTCTTCTCTCTCTCTCTCTCTTAGCTTGCAACTTGCAAACAGTAATCCTGTGGTCTACAAAGCGTCGTACGTTAGTTTTCTGAAATATATTGGCGATGAGGAGACAGCTCTTCTATCCTTAGCTTCAATTCGTTCTGGTTCTAGATCAATGGATCCGATAATTAAGTATCTCTGGCATGCCACCAGATTTTTACTATAATGTATGTGGGCTCTTCACTGCGAAAATGGAGCCCAAATTAACGTACGAACATATTTTTTTTAAAAAAAAAAAAATTTCCCTCATTATAATTATGTCAAAGTCTTAGCTTTCACCAACCAACCAACCAAGCAATTTTGCTTATTGCCTTGACATTATATATATATATATATATATATATATATATATATATATATATATATTGCGGTCTGGAATTGAAGAAGCTAATAAGCAGCGGCGGCGGCGGGCATGGGGAGCCAAGAGTGCGACATAATCCGGTGGTTCGACGAGGTGGCGGAGAACGCCGGGCAGGTCCAGAGGGAGACGCTCCGGCGGATTGTTGAACTGAACCACGGCGTGGAGTATCTGAAGAAATGGGTGGGAGATAAAGATATGAATGTGGAGGATGGCGCATTATTGGAATCCCTTTACACTTCTTTGGTCCCTCTTTCTTCTCATGCAGATTTGGAGCCTTACGTTCAACGGATTGCCGACGGCGACTCCGCCCCTCTCCTCACTCACCACCCCATCACCACCTTATCCTTAAGGTACTTCATTTCAATTCATACACTCATACATACATATATATCTCATATACATACACACTACTACTATTATTATATTATATTATCGATCACTGTCTATGTTTTCCACACTTTTTGTTAAGCCTTTTAATAATATTACATAAAAAGCTGTACTCTGTTGAAACCATGAGTCATGACACCCAATAATATATATATAATGCCCTAAACTAAGTGACAAATTAAAACCCACTAATAATTGCTTGTAACCTTTGTTCTTAGCTTGTTGAATTGATGGATAATATAATGGACACACTGAAAATTTTAAAAAGCAATTAATTATTGTTTATAATAATAATAACCATCTCGATCTAATCTCCATTTTTCTTATTGGTTACTGCAACTGCATTCAGTTCTGGAACTACAGAGGGTCGACAGAAGTTTATACCCTTCACTCGCCATAGCTCACAAACCACCCTTCAAATCTCCAAGCTCGCAGCTGCTTTTAGATCCAGGTACGTAATTTCAATATATTTGAATTCTACTAAAATCTATAGCTGATAGCAAAAACGTAACTTTATTTCTTTATACCACCCGATTCTTTAAAAACAGTTCTGAATCTCCACCCAATTAATAATCCCCTAACCACATGATCCTCCGCCCTACACATTCACATACACACATATATATATATAGGTCGGCAAATCAATTTGTTCATATATGATAGGATTTATCCGACAAGTGAAGGGAAGAGGATTCTGGAGTTCATATACAGCAGCAAGCAGTTCAAGACGAAGGGAGGAGTGACGGCGGCGACGGTGACGACACACATTTTCGCGAGCGAGGAGTTTAAGGTGAAGCAGCGGGAGATTAAGTCGTTTACTTGCAGCCCGGAGGAGGTGATTTCCAGCGGCGACTACAAGCAGTCGACGTACTGTCACCTCCTGCTGGGGTTACACTACGGGGGCGAGGTGGAGTTCGTGGCGTCCACCTTCGCCTACAGCATCATCCAGGCGTTCTTGTATTTCGAGGAGCACTGGAGGGAGATATGCAACGACATAAGCGAGGGGACTCTCAGCGCCAAGATTAGCCTGCCTAAATGCCGTGAATCTGTGCTCAAAATCCTCGCCCCAAACCCGGGTTTGGCTGCCAGGATTCGCAGGGACTGTGAGGAATTGGAAAGGGAGGCGGATTGGTTCGGGTTGATCCCCAAACTGTGGCCTAATGCCAAGTATATTTACTCCATAATGACGGGGTCTATGCAGCCTTATTTACCAAAACTCCGGCATTACGCCGGGAAGCTCCCATTGGTGAGCGCAGATTATGGCGCAACTGAGAGCTGGATTGGGGTGAATGTGGATCCTTCTTCCCCACCCGAGAAGGTCACTTTTGCAGTCATACCCACATTTTCTTACTTCGAGTTCATCCCACTTCACAGAAGGAAATCACAACAACCAGATAACAACAACAACAACAACAACAACAACAACAATAACAATAACGCATCCACAGATGATTTCTTGGAAGATGATCCTGTGCCCTTGTCCCAGGTCAAGATTGGACAGGAATATGAGGTTGTTCTAACAACTCTCACAGGTAAGTAATTAAACTCAACAATAACATATTCAATTCATTAGTTTGGTTGTGCTGCGCTGTTGCTTAAATAACTATTCGTTGACATATATATATATATATATAAACTAACTTTGGGTAGGTCTAGGTTGTTCACCAACACTAATTTCATTTTGCTTGAAACATTTCTTGACACAACATTTTTATATGTCGTCTGAACATATATCTATATATATATTGGAGTTGTTCTAACATAGTAACATAAGTGGCCTAGCTAATTAACCAATCCTTCACCACAAGTGTCAATTTGCCAAGTTGATAGATACATGGAATGTGTCTATGAATTCAAGAACATGGAATCTAGGAAAATATCGTGTCATTTTTTAGGTCTTTGAAAAAAAATGGATTCTACAAATAAGGAAAGACGATACTAGCCATTCAATACATATCCACATTTATAGCTTCAAATATTGTTCTAGGAATTGAAGAGGCCAGGCTGGAAGAAAGATATTTGATATATATGATATCATGACCATGTAATTAAAGTCTGTATGATTAGATAGGATATGATAGGGTGAGTGATTAAACTATAGACACGTACAGCCAATATAATAGTGATTTTCTTTTAAGATTATAAATCAAAACCTAGGAATTGAAGCAGTCTTTTCATTTTCATTAGTTTATTGGCATTTGTTTTGTTTGACCAAGTTAAACAATTAAAGTTAAAATTGATTGAGCAAGCCAAACTTTGGTTGATCATCATTTTCAAAACACCCCAAAATCCATAAAATCATCCTATCGAATAAGCTCTAGAAAAAGTCTTATCATATTGATCAGCACACTAATGTTAACGTATTAGATATGATCAACATGTTGATCATCAACATCTTTAAATTTTCTATATATATAATCTTAGGTATAGTATATAGATTCAAAATCATATGAGAACAGAATCTATTCCCAGACATTCTTAAATGACGGTGGAGACCCTAAAATAGATTATATGTACTCATGTTTGTTTGTTAGCAGGTAGGTTTTCACTTAATGATCGAAGTGTTCTCATTTGAACACAATTATATTAAGCCTAGAAGTATGCATTTAACAATTGATTATATTGTTGGACACATACAGGGCTGTATAGGTACAGGTTAGGGGATGTGGTAGAAGTGGCAGGTTTCTACAAGAACACCCCAAAGCTGAACTTCATATGCAGAAGAAAGCTGATACTAACAGTAAACATCGACAAGAACACAGAGAAAGATCTCCAGCTAGTAGTGGAGAGGGGTTTACAGATTCTAAGCAAGACGAGGGCTCATCTAGTGGACTTCACGAGCCACGCAGACGTGGCAAAACAACCTGGGCACTACGTTATATACTGGGAGATCATAGGGGAGGTTGAGGAGAGGGTTCTGGGAGAATGTTGCAGAGAAATGGACGCTTCTTTCGTGGACCATGGGTACGTGGTGTCCCGGAGAACAAACTCCATCGGACCCCTGGAGCTAAGGATTGTGGAGAGAGGAACTTTCAGGAAGATTCTGGAGCATTTCATCGGCAATGGGGCGGCGCTCAGCCAGTTCAAGACACCCAGGTGTACTACAAACCAGGTGCTGCTAAGAATCCTTAACCGCTGCACCATTAAAAGGTTTCACAGCACTGCATATGCGTAATTATATCAAACGCCGCCGCTTAACCCTATTTTCCATTATTTCTTTCTTTAATTAGTCGTCGTGTAAGGATTTTAGGATTAACATGTGTTCAAATATGGGTGATACATACAACTTTCTGGCCATGCATGTTTTGGACAAAGTCTTAATTTCCATTTTAAGTGTGCAAATTTTCACCTTTACATCATATCTTATTTCCCATGCAATAATTCTCCTATTATTTAAACATTTTTGCGCATTTAACTATATAAATAATAGCAAGCATTACCTCATTTGGGGCAACCCAGCCAATTAGTTAATCTGATTATTCGTTTGATAATTATAAAATATGAGTACGTACCATATATCTTGCTCTAAATGGATGTTAATGTATATAGGTTTTGTAAATTAAGTCACGTTTTTAGGTGAACTAGCTGTCCAAGACTTTGGCCTAGTCCCAAATCTTGAACCATATATCTATCTATTTGTTAGACATGCATGAGGTTTTTTAAAGTTACTTTTGATGTCATTACTTTTTTTAATATTCTCAATAATGGTACACAATTATTAAAATTGTCAACATAAGTACATGACAAGAGTCTTTTCTTTTTTTCACTTTGATTAAAGTTTGTGGGTACAAATTTTCATTCACATGACTTACTTTTGTAGAAACTAAAATTTATCATCGTAAACTTTGGCTACCGACAAATTAGGTAAGAACATCCAATGATTTTATATTGAAAGGACCGAAAGTAAGAAAAAAAAAACGTGACAATTTCTACAACGGTACGTAGTGCTCCTGACTATTCCAAAAGTAGAAATATCACCAAAAGAATAAAAAAAAATAATAAATCTTTAAAACATATCATTGGACTTCGACCTTAATTAATACTTTAATCCGCCATGACTTCGATTATTATATAAAATGAGATAAAGAGAATAATATAGTGATGTGTGTGATTATACACGACACGTGTTGAGAGGATATGATGGTTACCGCATGGTCCCCTATAGACAAGCTAAGACGCATTTGGTGTTGCAGATGGTGCATGAACATACATACAAACAGCTTCACAGTTTATAGACAGTAGAAGTATATATATATATATATATATATATATATATATATATATATATATATATATATATATATATATATCTTATTGTGTGGATGTTTGCTAGACGTGTGTCTCAATATGGTCGCATTATCGTTTATGGTAGATATAATATTCAGTAATGTAATGATAATGACAATAGCAAGTTAGCAACCACAACTATCGAATGATAATAAGTTTTTTTGTTTTCTTTTAAATGTTCTTTCCCCTCTAATTAAATTTTCCTCTCCTGATGTGTCATTCATTTAGTGGAAGTCAATGAATTAGTTATCCCATACTAATTAAAAACTAAATTTAACAACTAATAAGGTGATACCGCCTCTGGAGGTGAAGTTTGTAGGGAAAATAGATGTTGAGTTTGTAGCATTATTGCTCTTTTTTTTTTCTTTTTTTTTTTTTAAAAATTTTAAGTTGAACCCCAACCCTAAGGACCTTCCATACTCGGAAGATGTAAATAATGGTAACTCAACTGAATATGAATCACAGAGGCTAGACCTTTATTTACTGCGCATAAGGTGCCCCTCACTTTGAGAGATTGCTCCGTCGAGACTCAATCCCTAGTCATACTTTCCAAATTTCACCTTTATGACTAGTTGAGCTGCCCATGCAGATATTTAGTGAAAGATATATAACGACATATGATGGCAATTGTTCATCGAGAATCACGTTTTTTGGTTTTGTTTCCAACCGTCCATATGCAAAGATATATATAATGTATATGAGAACAAAGACAGATGATGATAATGGCCTAATACTTACAAAAAAACTATGAATGTAATATGAGAAAGAAAGATCGCATACACACACAAAAAGTTTTAATATATGTGATGGGAAGTTCAAAATGTGGGGTATAAGTATAATACCTTTTAATTAATTCTGTCGTGTTCCATGACAGCGATATATGGAAAGCTGGTGGAGCTCCTTTCTGGTATACAGCCGCCGGCGGTAACGACGACGACTAGCCAAGCAGCGCATCTCGATCGCCGGCTGCCTGCGTTTTTGAGATGAGTTGTATAGGATGCCGGGCTATACAACGTGGGGGGTTTGACTAAGGTTAAAAAGGCACAGGAATGAAGAAAACGTGGGGAAAATGGGAACAGCCAGCCATGCCGAGAGTGGATAAAAAGGGACGCGTCGTCAGTATAGTACAGTGTGGTGCATGTGAACGTAACAGTTCAGTACACTACCATCAATAGTTACGCTCACGTACGAATCGTATGTATGAATGTACTAAATATAAATATAGTAACATTTAAGTAAAATATAAATAAATTCAAACTTACCATTGGAAAATGTAAGAAAAAATATTGTGTATGTATGTGCATTGTAATAATAGTGTGAAAAGATAACAAAAGTTATATATAACGGTAGAGATATTTTTGTCCAAAAAATTATATAGTACAACTTTTATAGCATAAGGTACATAAAAAGTAACAAAAAAAAAAACAAACATAAACCATGAATATAACTTGTATTGAAACTTTTTACGTATTTAGATTATATTTAGATTAGATATTTATATATTTTCAAAAAAAAAAAAAAAGATTAGATATTTATATTATTCTATGTAACTATATATGTTCCTGACTTCCTGGGCGCTAGGATGGAGGTTTGAAATTCTGTCGACCATAAACTTTAAAGTATAAAGTGTCAATCCATATTCCATTGGCCATGGCCCATGGGGCCACCTCCCACTCCATCGCCATAGCCCAAATCTGATCTGGAGAAGAAGCATAATCCTCCAATTGTTATATCAAGCACGAGGGCGTACAACCCGCATCGACTTAGCTCAATGATTTAGTGGGCAGTATTTAGGGTAAGAGATCAAGGTTCAAATTTCGGCAGCGACAGTGTTGGAATTATGTCCAAAGTGGACAGATTCCAAAGTGAGCAGATTCCTTGTCGAGTTGGTTGGGGGTGGGCAGATTCCTTGTCGGGTTGGTTGGGGTGGGGATTCAGCCTGTGCATAATGGACCAATATATTTGCCATAATCCTCATATGAAGCAATATATTTTCACTCAACCAGACTTCCATCTAATTTGCTATACTTCTTCATGGACCAATATATATAAGAAATGCAACTCCTAGCTAGCTCAAGTTTATACACTTCAAATAAACTTTAGTATAAAAGGGATTTTTTTATAATTGTTTTCACTCTCAAGTACAGTTGTGCATTGTTGTAAGAATCTTTAATTTATTATTTTCACTTTTTATCTCTTGTTTTCGTGTATTATATATGGTCTAGTTAATTAGTTGTAACAACGAACTTTCATGTATAGATGCAATGTAAATCCCATACTTGCAATACCAAATACATACGTACACTTCCTTAGTATTATTATGAATTAATGAGGTATAGAGAGTTAGAACTTAATTAATAACTAATTAAGTAGCGTGCACAATGCATTGTATGTTGTTTGAGCTTGATCAAGAAAAAGACAAATGACAAAATTAAATAATAGCTTCTTTTTTTGGACAATACATATTGAGTTGTCAGTTGTCACTATTATGAATTAAAAATTAAATAAGTTGAACGCTCCACTTTGATTTTTAGGACCATTGCGGTCCCAAACTTTCTTGTGTAGATGTGTGAATCTGGTTAATTTGCAATTCTAATCACTCTTCCACACAAAATTAATAAAGTTGAGTGGGATTTTTTTTTTGTCTAAAAAAAGTAAAACTATTACCACATCTTATTATAGAAATTTATGTCACATCATATTGTCACTGATTAATTATGACATGACTTTAACAAGACAATATGGACGAATTGATGAGTCATCTCTACTATTATGAAGCGAAAACAATTTGAATGTTGTACTTTGACTTTTAGAACAATTGTGGTCCCAAAATTCTTAGATGTGTGAATTAGGTTCACAATCCTAGATACCCGATCTTCCAACTATAATGATTAATTAATAACGCATATATAGATTTCAATAACTTAATTAATTAATAATTGAGTAGCACAACACATTAAGATTTGAGAGTATGTACTTTGAGCTAGATCGAGGAAACAAAATATCGACAAAGTTGAATGATTTTTTGTGTCTGAAAATTGAAGGCAAAAATGTACTTTGTTATATCTTTTTTATAGAAATTTATGTTACATCTTGATAGCAAATGATTTATTACAACTTGATTTTAACATGACAATATGTACAAATTGAGACAGTGAAAAATTTGAATGTTGTAGTTTGGTTTTTAAGACAATTGTGGTCCCAAACTTCCTACCTGTGGTGTGAACCCAATTTCTAATTCCATCCCTAAATACTCTTCCAAATATAATGATTAATTAATGATGTATAAAGTTCAATTACTTAATTAATAACCGAGTAACACAACACGTTGTGACTTATATATGAATATGTACTTTGAAGTAGATTGAGGGGAAAAAACAAAGTTAAATGACATTTTTTTCTTATAAAACGTCAAAACTATTGTTGCATCTTATTAGAGCAATTTATTATTTATTTATGTCACAGCCCGTTGACAGTATTTAGTTACAGTTCGACTTTAACATGAAAATGCGAATCAAGCCGTAGTCACAATTACGAAGCAGAAATAATTTGTATGCTCTACATAGTAACATACTTGAGTTCAATTCGTAGTCCCAATTCAAAGCCAAATGTAAGAATATTAATTAAAATGCATTAAATTAAGCTATAAAGTTATTTTCAAAAAAAAAAAAAAAAAAAAAGCTATAAAGTTATTTTTATAGGCTGTTACTATCTAGTTGACGGAGGATCACTACTACAAAAAAACACTTTTAACGTCGATTATTTTGTGACGTCGTTCTCTCTGACGTTATAAATAAATGATACAACGTCAGTTGTCAAAAACCGACGTCGTATGTCAATTTAAAAAAAAAAAAAAGATACGACGTCAATTTTTTAAAGAAATCAATTACAAAATTTACACACACTATTTACATACTTAATGTTCATAATTTACGTTTTATAAAATTGTAACATTCAATATGTAAATTGTATAGTTTAGACTTGAGTCCACCCTGCAAGATGGACCATGGTCCATGGTATAAGTGTTGAATTAAATATTTGTCAAATTGGGCTAGGCTAAATAATGCAACTCTTAGCCCAGTCTGGCCCATAGCACAAAATATTTTTAAAATTAAAATTTTTTTATTTAATTATTTTTTAGCCCATAGCACCCAGTCGTTTTATTTATTTTTATTTTTTTAAATTTATTATTAAACTTTATTAAAACTGATTTTAAATGCCAACTCAGTGTTCAGTAGCCTAATTTGGAGTGTTCAGTAGCCTAATTGCTCGAACCTATAACCTCAGAGAGCAACTTAGTGTCGCTAGACCAGAAGTTGCAATTAAAATATAGGTTAAGATGGCTTAGACAAAACAATAAAAATGATGGTATTGACCACAACCCAAAATCATTTCAATTAAAAATTATTGAAATGTTTGTTTTTTTCCAATTTTAATATCTCAAAATCAGAATTAAATCATCTTCCTTTTACTCTTTCTTGTTTAAATTCAATTTACCCTCAAGTACGTCCTCAACACTAGCTACAGGTTAACTTAGTGAAATTCTCAAGGCTGCAATAATAGACAACAGGTTTAATTTGATACATACATTGATCAACTCACCAAACGTAAATGAGAAAGTTTCAACATACATATAAATCCATTCAAACAAGAAATTCTCGTTAATCTCCATTCTCCCTATAACAAGAAAAACCTTAGAGATTTACGAAAAATGAGCACTATATATCTTCCAAGCCACTTCCCATAATAAGCTCCCGGACTTCATTTGAACAAAACCACAGCTCTTAAATTCAAGAAATTAAAATGGGCTCCGTTTCAACACTATCCCGACACCATTGTCGGAGATCCCAAGAAGAAGACTCTCAACGTTATCGAGTTTATGCGTCGTTCTGTGGCAGGAATCATGCGCCGAATGTTAACATGTCCAATTGGATATCTTGCTTCAATCCTTCCAGCAACTCGTGGCACCGGCTCGCCTCCATTCCGGGGCTTCTGGAGAACCATGTCCTCAAGAGATTCGCCATGGTCGGAATCGGCGACTGGATTTACGTGATCGGCGGACGCCACTGCCTGAAATATGTCGGCGGCGGCGGCTCCTCCGTCCACGAGAATGAGCTCGGGGTTCTGGGTAACGTGCAAAAATACAACGTTGTCACGGATACGTGGCGCAAATGCAAGCCCCTGAAGACTCCGAGGTTTAACTTCGCGTGCACGGTGGCGGACGGGAAAATCTACGTGGCCGGCGGTCAAACCGCCGTGGGCAGCGCCGAGGGTACCTCTTCCACGGAGGTGTACGACCCCGCACTGGACGAATGGAAGTCGCTGCCCGACATGAACACGACGAGGTACAAATGTGCCGGGGTGACGTGGCAGGGGAAAATCCACGTGGTCGGCGGATTCGCAAAGAGCGGCAACTCCGACACCCTCGGACCCTACATCATGGAGCGGAGCTCCGCTGACGTGTACGACCCTAAGCTCGACAAGTGGGACGTGGTGACACGAATGTGGGAGCTGGATGTGCCGCCATACCAAATAGTCAACGTCGATGGGAATCTCTTCAGCTCCGGCGACTGTCTGAACGCGTGGAAAGGCCACATTGAAGCCTACGACGGAAGATTAAAGATATGGAACGTCGTCGACGGTTCCATGTCTCCGATATCGACGTCTGACACGGCGGAATCCAACTGGCCGCCGATGGAGAGGATGTACTGCACCATGGCCCCAATCGGGACAAAGCTATACTTCTTGGCCGGGTACCGGTTGCCCGGAGAAAGGTCGAGATGCAGGAATGAAGTGCATGTGTTCAATACGGCGGCCAACGGCGGCGGATGGACGTGCTTCGAACCCATTGAAGAGGAAGGAGAGAAAGAGCTTTGTTCCCATTGCTGCGCTCTTAAGATGATGGATTCTTGATCGATTTTATCGCAATAATCCATATAAATCATTCTTGGCTGAATTCTATTCTTGGCTAACTCAAGAATTGAAGCTGCCAACTTACAGAACCCATATATCATGATGATGATGCATAGAAGCTCAAGCCACAGCGACAATTCAAGAGTTTCGATCGGTGCAATATATGAAACATATTATATATATTACTTTTATATATATTATGTTGCAACAAGTCAAAAAAACAAAAACAAAAAAAAAAAGAAAAAGAAAAAAGGGGTGGGGTGGGGAGGGGGGGGGGAGGTGTGGAATAATATTGTCAATAACAATACGAATCTGAGGGAGGAGACATACATGAGCAATATATATATATTCTCATGATTCGAATTGAAATAGTTGTGGATGTCCTTAAGATTTTACACATAAAAGCCCAAATGGAAATAAATTTGGCCTTTAGCTATCACACTTTGCTTTGCTTATACCATGGATCAGGGTTCACAATGCACCGTGGCCCCTGGTGCATGTGTATGTATCTTATGTTATAAATTTTTTTGTATCTTGTATTATGAAATTCTGTACCTTTAAGAGTATAAATTATGTATCTGAAACAAATTAGTAATGGTGTCTTATGTTATGAATTTGTGTTTTGTGTTGTGAAATTATGTACTTATATTAGATTTTAAAAATAAGTAAATATATAACTTGTGCATGTGTCTTGTATTGTGATAAATTTTTTGTGTCTTATGTTATGAAATTATGTACCTCGTCGTTTCAATCAAGGATCCATGATGTTAGGTGGACAATCGTCCATGATATAAATTGCCCTTGTTGGTCTAAAGAACTTATCAAACCCATTTACTAGTTTGTCAATCGTTATGCGTTGGACCCGTGTCCAGCATGCTTGCTGGACACGGGTAACAGTGCCGTTAGGCACTGTTATCTCCTTTTTTTTTTTTTTTTTTTAAAAAAAAAAAAATTTCAGATCGCTTCATTATAAGAGTATATGTTCATAATTTTATTACTATATGTTAATAACTATACATTCATAACTCCATAACTGTACGTTCATAACTCTATAACTGTACATTCATAACTCCATAACTGTACATTCATAATTTTCGAAGCTCTATGTTCACAATTTTAGAGCTCTATGTTCATAATTTTATCACTATATGTTCACAATTGTAAGTTCTAATGTTAGAGCTCTTTGTTCATAATTTGATCAATAACTGTACATTCATAATTCCATACTGTAGATTCATAACTCTATAACTGTACATTCATAACTCCATAACTGTACATTCATAATCTTCGAAGCTCTATATTCACAATTTTAAAGCTCCATGGTCATAATTTTATCACTATATATGTTCATAATTGTAAGTTCATAATGTTAGAGCTCTGTGTTCATAATTTCATAATTGCATAACTGTATATTCATAACGGCATAACTGTACATTCATAACGGCATAACTATACATTCATAATCCAAAAAAAAAAAAAAAATAACGCCGTTAACGGCAAAACGCGCGCTAATTTTTTTTTTTTTTTTTAACTAAATGACGCGTTTTTTTTTAAAAAACGACATCGTTTTGGGCCCGTGTCCACAATTCAATGTGGACACGGGTCCAGGGCATAATTTGCCCTAGTTTGTTAAGTCCAAACAACACGTCGAATTTGGTCTAAATAACTTATCAAACCCATTTACTAGTTTGTTAAGTCCAAACAACAATGCAAAAACGACGTCGTTTTATTAAAAACGCGCGTCTCCCCTTAAAAAAAAAAAAAAAATCAGGTTCGATTCCCAGCAACAACATATGAACTAAAATTTCAGAATCGATGAACTATAATTCCAGAATCTATGAACTAAAATTCCAGAATCTAATCTATGAACTAAAAATTCCAAAATGAATGAACTAAAATTCCAGAATCTATGAACTAAAATTTTAGAATCGATGAACTACAATTCTATAATCGATGAACTATAATTCCAGAATCAATGAACTAAAATTTCATAATCTATAAACTAAAATTCCAGAATGAATAAACAACATAATGTTGCTGTGAATCAAACCTGGTTTTTTTTAAAGAGGAGACGGGCGTTTTTAATAAAACGACGTCGTTTTTGCATCCGTATGCACCATGCATGGTGCATACGAATGCACAACATAACTACGCTATCATGAACCTTGTATGTATCAACTCCTAAATTTATGTGTGGGGGCTTTTGGGTTGGGGATTCAATAATTTGTGAAGAATGGAAAGGTAAATTAAATTAATCTAATTTCAAGACTCAACATTAAATAACCTCATTCTCCCGCTGGAATGAAGCAAGTCTTAAGTGTGGTTTCTTATCTACTAGATCAATGTCTTGAGAGCATTATTTAGAACAAAATTTTGACCAATCGTTATACCGTGGACCACGGGCACAATGATATACACGTTTTTTTTTACTGCACTACATGTTCGTTTTTAGTATATTGTAAGTTTATTTTTAAATAGTGTACTACCTACGGAGTAATAAACATATAATACACTAAAAATGAATCTATAGTATACTAAAATAAGCCTATATATTTACCTTGCAATGTGAACCATAGTCTATGTATAGTATAATTTGTCAAATTTGACCATTTAAATTTATCTAATTTATCAATCTGACTTTGTAGTGAGATAAATGATTTAGTTATGATGCATGCATCTTCCCTAACCATCTAATATGCGTGCTTCGATGTTTTAGACTAGTACTAGTATAAATATATTTTAACTTTTTAAAAGATTTGAAATATTGTTAGAAGGCTTTCTCTTGTATACACGTGAATGGTTGATTTATTATTATTAGTCCGTATTATTTTTTGGGCACAATACCATAACGTGACTTTTTTTCTAGGAGAGGAAATATTTTTCGAATAAGTTATGACTATGTTCTGTTAATTATTTTATTTGTTTAATAAAATGGCACTTTCCAACCATTTTATGGTGGATTTGTAATGGAAGTTAATTGAGATTTGGATATAATATATAACTATATAAGCCACGCCTGGAGTTGATGATTGTCATATTAATTGTTGTTGCAGATCTTAGTGGAGAGCCAATAGCTATTCTCTAAAATAATAGGTGTAGAGCCGGGCCACTAGTACAAAGCTGCACCTTATAATGCTTCAACAACAATTGAAAATGAAGAAAAAAAATGTTGTTTGTATTTTGATAGTTTATATTCTTGATTTCCTTTCACATGATTTGCATTAATTGTGATAATGTTAATTATTTTACGTCAAGTCCAAATGTATATATAATTATGAATACAAGATTAATTTGTATATATTAATCCTTATTATATAATGTTATGTTAGAGTTTGGAAGGTCGGGAAAGTGTTAAAAGATGTTTTTGAGTCAAAGTCCCTTCATTAGTAGAGTAAATTGACTTTTATAGCGCTATGTCAAAACATATGTTGAAATTTCCATTGACAATGCTTACCTACATGTTACGTTACTCATGTTAGTCAGGTTGGACATGTCATGTGTTGGTGCTAAAGAGATTTAGACATGTGTAATGGTTGAGAGGACACTTTACATGCTACTTATTTGTTCTGATAAGATCGATTTATGCTTAACATTTATACTCTTTTTTAATATAGCATTCAATATTTTCACAATTATAAGACTTATCCAAATTTAACCAAGTTACATATTAAAGTTTGATTTTTATTAAAAAACACTTGACCCATCATTTTTAACATCTAGAATTTTATAATGAGACTAGTATTGGTTTTGTTTTTTTATATGTATTTTTTTGAAAGTACATTAATTTAATTGGGAAGGGTGAAAAGCCCAAGTAAGAGTAGAATACAGTGTGGGGGCCCATGCCCTAGAGGGCTTGGATTATTCAACGTTGTGAATGCATGAAAAGTAGAGAAAAGGATCCCATCACGTGACCCGAAATACGCACGGGTCTCACCTCTCCCGTACGCCACGCCTCTTCTTCTAATCTTTTTGATTTTTTTTTTGGAAGAAATACAAATCATTAACTCAAGTCTGGCAAGTCCAATCAAGCACTTTGTACTCAGATGACATATAGTGACCTCTCACATATGGGAGGTCATGAGATCGAGCTTTAGTGAAGATGTTGTGAAAGTATGTTTAAAAAGTCTGTTCGTTGATTGCTTTACAAAAGTTAAAAACACTTGTAAAAACTTGCTATACATGTTTTTTTATATCTCTAAGAATTAAACGAAATAATGACTCTCAATTGTTCATGGTGAGGCTTTAGACGACCTGAAGAGAGTCCGTTTCCACCTAAATTGTCAAGATTCAATTGTTTGATCCAACTCAAAGCTCCTCCGACCAGTTATCTGCTTCTAAAAGCCAAGTCTTCCTCTGATCAGTTACTTCTTGCCAATGCATCTTTTGGATAGGCGTCACCGTTTGGTTGGCGGTCCTTTTGGACGCAGCTGTTAAACTGAGCGGTCCATGGTGAGAGCTGAGTATAGGGGGCATAGATTACGCTAGTTGCCTCGTTAAAAACATTAAAAACCTTAGACTAATTAAAACTCAATGGGAAAAAACCTAGCTAAGAGAAAAAAGTACAACCATAAGCACAATATTTAGCTAGTGTGAGAATTCCGACCGCCTTCATATGAAATCTGGCAGACCGACCATTGAGCGCTTTTATCATCCTACAAAACTCGAAAAAATAGTTAAGTTAAAAGAAAACACATGAGGTGCGTAACTTCCTTATGAGCTCTAATCTTTGACACTTGAAAACAATAAAAGTATAATGTGAGCCCTTCGACCGACCACCTAGCATTTCAACATCATGCAAAATTTAAAACACTAATTGGGTGAAAAACATCTTCGTGAGATGCGGCCCACTAAGTGTGTATGGTTCGGACCAGTTAGTTTTGTCTATCATAAGTTAGTTGTCCACTCATAGCATATGGCATTCCCTTGCTTCATATGCCCAAACCTGCAAGGATTCAAAGAAAATTAGCAAAAATCATCCGACCGCCTCGTCTGAAGGGTGACTAATTACCGGGTAACTTGCTTAGGCTAAGTAGCCAAGGAATCTCACTCATTTCCAATATAAAAGCTTGAAAAAGCCTGGTCAGTCAGCTTCGTTGCGAGGGGTGTTTGACCTATTTTGAATTTTGACAATAGAGTTTGTAAAATTGATTTTATCACAATATTTGTAGTTAATTTTTTCTTCTTGAATATTAAAAATAAAGTTGAAAATAAAAAATATAGTACATAATACTATAGTTATATTGAATAAAATGTCAGCATCACGTATTATGATTAATTTATTTTATAATCAAAAGATTTATGGATTAATAATTAAATAATCATTAATCACAACCCATTACATAAATACAACTTTTATTGCTAGAAAGTAATTCCTTTTTCCAAAAAAAAAAAAAAAAAATTTTAATAAACAACATTAGAGTGTAGAGATTCGGTGATACCCGACAAGTTCCTACGTATTAGCCAACAATTATTCACCATAAGTGTCTATTTAACCGCTAACGTCGGCCGTTGTCTGTGCAGTGCACAAATTGCGGTGCACGTCAAGACTTTTCAACTAGAGCGGTGCCCACTCAAACGTACTATTCATTATACCCATACCAACAATAATCATCCCCCATTGTTTACCTTTTTTCTCTTATTTTCTTTTCACCCTCATTAAAAAATCAATATGATCCATAACTACTCCTCTTATTAAATTATTGAACCCACTATTATAAGTGAGTCAAACTATTAATTTTTTCATATGGGTATTTTCATTACTTCGAAATTAATCTAAATTTGACGTTCCGGGTTGGACTTTCATTTGGAAGATTGTGATTTCGAGCCTCAGTGGAGGCGTTATTGGCTCTTTGTGTTTCAGTAGGTTGAGAAAGTATATGAACAGATACTACATTGTAATAGAGCTAGTAGCATTCAAAAAAAAAAAAATTTAAATTTGATCCCAAATATGCTTTCCGAGTCTCTTAAATGAGAATCTGGTTAAGAGCTCATTAACAAGGTGCATCTTTATTGTGAAACTAATTTAGATTGGATTTTAGGGCAATCACAATAGTGATTTTTGGCTCAGCTTTTGAAGTTCTAATGCTTATATGAATGAGAGAGTGAGAGGAGAGAAAATAATTAAGGTTCTTACAAGAGAGGCCGGGTTCTTGTCTCCACAGTGGGCCCCACCATAAAAAAATTGCAAGTCTTTACTTTTTGTTTTAATTTTGTTTTTGTTTTTGTTTTTTCCCTCTCATCTCATCTTTTCTTTCATAATCACTAAAAATTCATAAAAAAATTACAACTATTGAAGATGTTCTTAGACACATCCTCAAAGTTTGATTCTTATTTAGATAGCTCATTACATAATTGAAATCACTATCATAGTGTGTAAATTTTTTGCTTTTTTTTTTTCTCCAAAAATAGTAATTAAGTGGATGAAGTATGATTATCAACTTATTGTAACTGAATATCATCACGATTTTTTTTTTTTTTAAATAACATTTTCCGATTGAGCTCGTAACACAAGGTCTGAGAAGTTTATATGGTTTAGAGCTCATTTAACATATTACACCAAAGTAAAAATGTTATTTTTGAATAAAGATAAAAGAAATAGAATAGTGGACATGAAAAAGTTAACCCTTAAATTAATGGTTTAAAAAGGAAAAGTTGGTAGGATAGTCAAAAACATATTGATTCAGATCAGAGTGAGTGGTGGTGGTGAAAGGTACAGATGGGGAAGAACAGTGGCAGTGTGCAGGCATACACAGAAATTAAAATAAACAAACCTTAAAACAAGCACATCTTACGTTGTTGTTAACAGCCATTATATTATTGTTGATCTAATAATGATCTATTCTAATCCCACGCCTCCAAAGGAAATTAACAGATCCAACTACTTTAATTACTACTCCTATCATACTATGCACTATGCATCAAATCTTTTCGTGAATGAACATTGTAAATGACATTAATTAGTTTAATAATCATGATTATGAAAATATTAGAATAATTGAATCCCGTCTCTGTATCATCACTGCTTTTTATCTGCTAGTCCACGAGCCCACCTTGATATTCTGATGTCCTCCACTTCTTTTCTCCCTCTCCTCTCCTCTCTCTTTCTTTGTTTCTCGTGCAACTGCCTATTTTTCATCTTTTAATTTGTTTAATTTACTCCTCCTTGAAGACTGAACTGAGAAGAAGGGAAGGAAGAAGGAAGAGCCTTTTTATTAATAGCTTTTTTCAAGGTTTCTAGTTTTTCTAGTAGCATAAAGCTTCTGGAACTTTGGGTCATCGTCTTCATCCTCATTAACGCAGTAAAAATCGAGTCTTTGTTTAATCTTGGGAGTTTCAAGAACCAGACGGCTCTGTGTTTGTGGCTTAATCTTGGCTGGTTGGTGATGAGAGAGGGTCGGGTTACTCTGTTCTTGCTCAATGGTGCGGGATATTGGTGCTGCTAGTGGTGGTGGTGGTGGTGTTAGTTGGGGTTTGGTGCTGCCGCCGGGCGTGGCTCCGACGGCCACTGGTGGCGGTGCTGACAAAGATGAGCAATGGAGGAGTTTTGACAACTCTGTCAATGCGGTGTCGTTTGGGTTTGTTGCCACCGCTATTCTCATTTCTATGTTCCTTGTCATGGCCATTTTTGAGAGGCTTCTCCGCCCAAGATCATCCACCTCCGCCGCTGCCGGCGGCAACGCCTCCAATCTCGAGGCTCACATCAGGGTCCAAAGAAAGCTTGATTATCCATCTCCAGAAGTAAGCCTCTCTCTCTCTCTCTCTCTCTCTCTCTCTCTCTCTCTCTCTCTCTCTCTCTCTCTACATATATGATCTATGTAAGTGTATATATGCAATTATGGATGCATAAAGTCTACGCCTTTAATGTTGATTCACTGAAAAAATGCAACCTTTAAGCAATATAATTCAGAACTTAGGTTGTTATACTGTAGTATTGCATTGCCATTTTCAAGTATTTTAGTATTGCCTTCATAGTATTTCAACCTTAAGAGGATGAAAAATTATGGTTAATAGATTTTGAGATGATAAAATGATTGTGTTGGGTAACTTTACTTTGGCAGACTGGCAGTTACTCATTTCCTTTGTTGTTTGCTGCTGTAATTATAGCTAATATTAGGTACAAATTGCTTGATTACTTCACTAACAGTTCATCTTAATCATGATTAGTACTTTAGTAGTAGCTATTAGTAGATTAACTAAAAGGGGGAGGGGGGTGGGGGGGGGGGGGGGGGTTCTTTAATCATGACCTCCAAATTTACAGCTTCTTGGTTATTATGATTCCATTGGACTTTAAACAGCTTTCTTGTTTGAAAAAAATGGTCCCTTTTTATTTGAGTAATTGTAGGCAATGCAAAACAAGGGTTGCAAACAATTCAATCTTTGTTTTTATGTGATTCTTTTCTAAAGCCAAAAATAGATGGGGCAATGAGGTTGATATCTGGGCCCCGGGAAACAATATTTCAACGAAAATGCATATAATAGGCCATCTATAGGGCCCCCCTGCTAGTGTGTCCTCAATTCTATCAAGAAAATAGATCAAACTCCATTAAAATGATATGTTTTCTGAACTAAAACGTGTTTTCCAGAGAGAATACTTGTAAGATTCTAAGTTCTGAGTAATGAGTTTGAACTTCTTGGAGAAAGAAATTAGCCTAATGTGTACAAAACGAGTTTAATGTGTAGATCTTCTTTTGACTCACTTGGAGCGTAATCATGTCTTAGATTACTGTAAGATCTCATCGACTCAAAATAGGATTTTGTGACGTAGGCTACATGGTGGAAGATACTGATTTTATATTCATTAATGAAAATTAGTACGGCACTTTGATGCATCCTTATTTGATTTAGATCCTAAAGTAGTGTGCAATAGAGTCATCATGCGTCAAGGCATTATTCAAAGAAGTGGGGGAAAATATTGTTTAACATATTGCTCTTGGATATAACCTGCTTTACCTTTATGGTGTGAATTAAATAATCTTTTAAACAATATGTGGCATGATAAATCACCATCACGACATAAATATGCGAATGCTTCGTATTGATGCCAATATCCATCAGGCTCGAGTCATATCGTGTTGGGAAGTTTTTAATTTTCTGTGATTCCTGCTATTAATGCTCATCCAACTAATGCGATGTTGGTGTCTATTAAACTTTTATGCATCGTTTTTATATAGTTTTGTTTTACACCGAGCAGGAGGGACATTAGTGTGACGCTATGTCTGCTTTTCTGGTTTCCTTTTGGGCTTATGGGTCCCTTTTTTTGTCACTAGCATGTGTTTTTGTCTTTAGATCAATCCTACATTAGTTCATATCACTATATCAGCATCTTTAGTACCTGAGATTTATTTATTGTACCTAAGAATCAACGAATAGATAACCTTTTTAAAGCATTGTGGCCGATAAAAAGGTTCGCATTCTTCTAAGACCTCAATCCTTTGCAAGTTTTAGAACCATTAAGCTGTTGATTCATGGGAAATTGGGAAAACATTGACGATGTTCCTCAAAGGAATTGCTTTGGTTTGTTGAGCATATAATATATATACACATAAATGTGCAATCCAACTATCAGCTTAGACTTTTAGTTCAGATGAAGCACATGCTTCAATTTGGTTCTTCAAATTGCGTTTTCCAAATGTGCAATTCAACTATCAGCTTAAGCTTTTAGTTCAGATGGAGCACATGCTTTAATTTGGTTTTCCAAATTGTGTTTTCCTTTGCCTTCTGGTCTTTCCAAATGTTCTTCAATTCCCGCGCCCCCAAAATCTAATGGCCTGGTTAATGTTCATTGTCTTCCATTTCAGATGACTGTCTATGCTAGAGGAGTGTCGGTGTTAATGCCCGGGGAAGAAGTTCCCACCTTCATCGCTCACCCTGTTCCTCCACCATGTAATCCCACGGACACCTCACAACCCTGCAATCCATCGATCTTGGCCTCGACTCAGACACAGCCCCAGGCGATAATCCAAGAAAGCGGAGAGAGCTCAACAGCTCCGCGTAGCTAGGTAGTCTTTCCACAAATGCTGTTTCTGTGTCTCTGAGGATCTTATCGTCGTTGTCTTTAGCCACTACTTTTGTATATCAGATAGTATTTGGCTGGGACTGTAAAGCTTGGTAGACATAAAAGTATTGTTTCTCAAGAAAAGCCAGAACTTGTCTAATTTTGTTACTGGCGTGTGTAGTTTCTTCAGCTGTCATTTTAGATGCAATGACAGATGCGGGTTCTTGGTTCCTCGTATGTTTCTTCTTATTCCCGACAATGGCGTAGCCGAGTAACATGCAGTTTTGTTTGCGGTCTTTGGGCTTTTATCAGCCGCCCCCCACTTTACAGTTCAGTGACAAATACAGCTCATCTCCTTCTAAGCTGCAACCGTGGGCATTCCTCATTCATGTATGGTGGAATTGAAGAAGTCATCCTACTAGATTTCAACCATGCCAGATCATAAGAAAGAAAATTTGGATAAAGGAAATCTTGGACAACCCCTCGAGAGTACAATCCTGAATGAGATTTGATCGAGACTTGACTAAATGACTAGACTAGTTTTGCCCACTAAAGGGGCAATTCTTTGTCTCCTTGACACCCTGACTCGACAAGATTGTAGAGGAGTAAGTCATCGTGATTCAGCAACTCATTAGGTGGAAGGACTAGTGCACATAGTGCTCAAATTGTTCATAAGGAGCCATCCCTACAAGAGAGTGAAACTCTTACACTGCAAAGGTAAAGACTCATTTTTGTGTCTTTATTCACAATCTGTCATCTAAGAACCAATCGGGTAGATTAGTCTCAAATGTAAATTTCAATGCGTTTTAAGAACCCCTTTTAAACAAACACCCAACAAGCCCACATGACACATGGGAATGGAGAAGAAACTAGTGAAGTTTGGTCGGCCCAAACCACATGCCACGGTATAGTTTAATCAAAATTCTAGTCCCAGAAAGGGCACACAAGTATCAGAATTTTGCACAACTTGGAGAGTATGCTTACACCCAGAAGATATAATAACAAAGTAAAGATGAGTGGTAGAAGGTGAAGATTCCAACACTATTGCCTCTGTTCATACACAAATCTCCATAGCTATCACAATCTCAAGATCTCACCTTCCTCCTCACCAAACCCAACCCACCACTTTTCACGAGGCCTGTTAATCTTTTCTCTTCACAAGTTATATACAAACAGTAAATTATATCTGGGAATTACTACAGTGTTAAAGGTTGAAACAGGTGGGGGGTTTAGTCATAAAATGGGAGGGAGGAAGACGATAAAAATAATGTATTAAAGTATGCATGAAGATGGCAGTGTATTTACACAAATTTGACTTTTTTTTTCCGGCGGCCAAAATATATATAGCATAATATGACATAGTTTCCAACAGTAAACAGCCGAGAATTGGGATACGACAACGTGTTTGGTCTTTTGATTTGACAATTTCATAGGAAAATGAAGCATTCCAAGGAAACAAGAGGGTTCTCTAGCGATTCGCCGGTCTCCTCCGAAACGCCGTCATTAGGCTTCTCTACTTTATCTCCGCGATTCTCTGCACTTTCCGCCGCCGACAGGGCACTCTCACTCACGGCGGGGCTTTTGTTTCTTACATTACGGCGTGTATCCACCTCCCGGTGTGTCACCGGAGAACTTGACCGCCGTGTGGGTACGGACTGTCGTTGGGCCCCGTTTTGAGGACCCACATTGCTGCGCCTCTGTGACGCCATTGGCCTAGTCTGGCCTGCTCTAGACGATGTCAGCGGTTTCCGTTTCTCCGGAGATGGCGCCGATCTTCTCGCCGGAGATCTGAAACTCCTGTCCCTCCCTCCAGCCAGATCCCCAGGGCTGCGCCGCTTCCTGGGCGGCCCCCTGGCCGGCGACCTCTGGTTGACTTCTCCATCGTCATCCCTCCTCTCCGTCGCCGTCGTCGAAATGCTCTCGGTGAAGCTACACAATTCAGAAGGCTCAGACACAATCTCCTCAGCCACAGCCGTCGGCGGCACAACCCTCCGATCCCCCCCGTCTAGGTCTAGCTCAATCTCAGCCGCCGGCACTTCAATCTTACGCTGTTGAAACTCAACCACTTTCTGCTGAGCATTGCTCTTCTTCTCATCCGCCAACACTTGCAAAGCTAGGGGCTTTGAAACGGGGGTTTCGGATAACACGACTTCTTTAACAGTTTCTTCGTCCACAGGCGGTGGAGCTCTGTCATTCTTGGCAGGATCCGGTAATGGCGGCTGCTGCTGTTGATCTGTAGTAGAGGCTTTGGTGGTGCTTAAACAGCATCCCATCTTAAGCAAATACTTATCACACTATGATAAGACTTGATCTTAAGTAAGCAGAAGAAAAAGCATGATGAATAGAAATGGTGTTTGGTTTAGGGAGTTGATGGGTTTTTAGGGTTGCAGAGAGGAGAAGAGAAGAAGGTGGTTTGGAGTAGAGAGGGAAAGTGAACGGTGAAATCCGTGCAGGTATTTGATGTGAAAGGAGCAGGAAGAGGGCACTGTGTTCCAAAAAGAGCCCATAAAAAATTTACGGAGTAAAAAATAAAAAATACCAGTAACCACTAACCCTGACTTCTGCGCTTTATGTATAGTATACTCTCTTTTTTCTCCTTTACTCGTGACTCGTGACCACTTCATCAGACTCATCCAACTCTCTTTCCATTTTATTCTTTTCGGTATATCATTATCCCAGGGGGTGTCGTGGGGATAGGAGGATTTTACATTTTCAAATTTTATATTAAAAATTTTACAGTAGTAAATAAAAAAGAGTAATAGAAAGTCAAAATTAAGCACGCATTTAGAGAACATAATTAACTAGCTACCTTTCACTATTGCATGCACGATGCTGTGAGAAGAGAACATTGGTGACTTTTGCACCGATTTATTTTAGGGTGAGAAAATGATTTATTATTTTTTTCCAACTCTGTTGATCAAACATAAATGGAATAAGGTTCAAATTGGCCATTGAACGTAACCTGAAAATGCAATTAGGCCACTGAACGAAAAAAAAGTGCAATTAGGCCATTGAACACTAAAAAAATGTGCAATTAAGCCACTGAACTCTCCAAACGTATGCAATTTTACTGGATAGCAAGTTACCATCAATTTTAGCAGGTTACCTGCTTACGTGGCAGCTTAGTTTGTATTTTTAAATATTTTTTAATAATTAATTTTAATAATAAATTTTATAAAAAATTGGAAAAAATTAAATAAAAAATAAAATAAAGTCGTTTTTATTTTTTAAAAAAAAATTTTAATAAAAAGTTATTATTAAAATTTATTAAAAATGTCAACTCAGCTGCCACGTAAACAGATAACCTGTTAAAATTGAGGGTAACCTGCTATCAGGTGAAATTGCACATTTTTAAAGTGTTCAGTGGCCTAATTGCACTTTCAGGTTACGTTCAGTGGCCAATTTGAACCTTATTCCAACATAAATTGGAGAAAAGGAGCAGATAAAGAACCTTTTTATTCAAAAAGATGAATGATAATAGCGGTTATAGCGCACACACGTTATGTAGGTCACTGTTTTCCCCATATATACATTCAAATTGAATCTAAATTCTTTCCTTATAATCACAAGTTATTATATGGCAATATTTTAATGCGATAAAGTAAAATTAGGAGAAAAAAAAAGCAGCCAATAATTGCATATGGAAGGAAAGATATGGTCCACGGTGCACATTATTATTAAAATAATTTACTTACGGGCTGGCTTCAAAGTTGAAACTGTGCTAAATAAAGGAGCTCCTTTCCGATCAATAGTTATGCTGTGCAACCGAATGTACCATGCGCATGGTGCATACGGTTCAAAACGACGTCGTTTTGATTAAAAACGCGCGTCCCACTTTAAAAAAAAAATCAGGTTCGACTCTCAGCAATAGCATTATTGTGGATATATAGTTATGAAATTGTGGATATATAGTTATGAAATTATGGTTATATAGTTATGAATTTATGGATATTTAGTTCATTCATTGTGGATATTTAGTTCAATCATATATTGTGGATATTTAGTTCATTCATTGTGAATTTTTACTTCATTCATTCATTCATTGTGGATTTTTACTTCATTCATTCATTCATTGTGGATTTTTACTTCATTCATTCATTCATTGTGGATTTTTACTTCATTCATTCACTGTGGATATATAGTTATGAAATTCTGGATATATAGTTATGAAATTGTGATTATATAGTTATGAATTTATGAATATTTAGTTCATTCATTGTGGATATTTAGTTCAATCATATATTGTGGATATTTAGTTCATTCATTGTGGATTTTTACTTCATTCATTCATTCATTGTGGATTTTTACTTCATTCATTCATTCATTGTGGATTTTTAATTCATTCATTCACTGTGGATATATAGTTATGAAATTCTGGATATATAGTTATGAAATTGTGGTTATATAGTTATGAATTTCTGGATATATAAAAATGCTATTGTCGGGAATCGAACCTGATTTCTCCTTTAAATGGGACGCGCGTTTTTTTAACCAAAACGGCGCCGTTTTGCAACCGTATGCACCTTGCAAGGTGCATTCGGTTGCACAGCATAATTTGCGCTTTCCGATTGGGCAACCGAATAATAATTTGGGCCACAAACACCGCCTCGCACCCTGCAATCTCATATCACAGCTCAAATAAAAGTAAAAACAGAAATACCATCCCATTCAAACACCCAAAAAAATCCCCCAATGGATTGTCTTGTCTGTCTCTTTTCCAGTATATTCCAAACGGTCCTTTAGTCCCCACTTATCCCCCTCACCAAATTATTGTGTCTTAGCTAAATGCAGTTCCCATTCAAATAATGCACGCTTCCCCTTGCAGAAATAAGAAAACTACAGTGCCCAGAATTTATAAAGGCCTCAAGGAAAAGACAAGACGATAATTTGAATTGCTCAGCTCAAGAAATTAACAACATTCTATATGAGGGCAGCAGCTAAACAAACATTCTGTTCTGAGGGGTAAGGACAATGAGTATGTTAAGGTAGTGCGTGGGAATGATTCCAATGATTATGACACCGCCAGGCTGTGCCAGTGCTACTATACGTTGCAGAATGAGAAACTCCTAATAAGTTTGAATTGGTCTAGAGCAGCAGTGTCAATCAATCCCTGTATACTAAACAGCATGCACAATCTAGAGAAATGGCTAGTGACATGAATTTCAACGAATGTACATATACACGAGTTTATTTTGAAAGACGGGGCTGTGATGATTCCAGGCAACCTAAGATATTTAGAACAAGATATCATTCACATGAATATCCCCACTCTGATAGAGGATACCTGCAATTGCTGTAGATGAACGGTGTCACTTTGCTAGCACCAAGATGACTAAATCATCATTAAAAGAATCAGTAAAGGCCAAATGTACTGCAACGGAGTATAATATATGGTCAGATGCCGGAGGTTTAGGCCAAAGATGCAGCACGATCTGATTCAATCATAGACTTAATGTAAAATTCTCCTGCCTTGTATGATGATCTGACCATGGGACCAGATGCCACATATCGAAATCCCTGAAATATCCAATAAGGCAATCATTTCATTAAGAGTTGTCAGAATATGCAATGTTTCACATATTAAATAGTATTGCAATCACTGTTATCAAAGCTGGTTGCAATTATAATGAGTGCATGTATGTTAAGTACTACTAAAATAAAACAAGACAGTTTTCCCATGCTCAGATCAAAACAGCTAATTTTTTTCATCTACTTATACTGCTAGTAAATTGTTATGGAGTATCTTTCTAAAAATGATTAAGCAGATCTATACACCAAAATAATGCTTCAAGATGGAAGATAGTCTTGAGAGATGATGCATCAATCAAGCAATGACAGAATAGAAACATTTACAACCTTACACTGACAAACACAGCTGAGTGATTTCCAGAAATGAGTGTATCATTAACAAACTACAAACTTTTGCACATAGTTTGAGCTTACTGTGCTCAGCTTATCACAAGGTGAAGGACAGCTCTGGTTTAGTTTAGCTTTAAAACATAATAGTGATGGCAGATAGTGCAGTCACTGTGTGCTGTTCACACTTCAGAAGACTCAAGTTTTGGTCCAGAAAAAATGTGGACAAGCATCTAAAGCTTTGCTCATAAGATGTTTCCAATGATTTTAAGAAAGGTAGTGAAGATAATTAACTATACAATATCTGCCACTGGGTGTTCCTGTCTTTCATGTAGACATAACCTTGCCTAGCAACCAATTTTGCATAAACAGTTAATTTATGGTGTTGTGTGTGGTTCCATGTCAGACACAATTTCATCCGCCACTTGCTGCTTGACACTTGCCAGCACCTAGGTGAGCAGGGGCAAGATGTCTTAGCTATTATCTTCTTGACAACATATTGGTAGGACAAATCTCATCCAAAATGCAATGGGGCAGGCAAGGCTAAGGCATGCATCAAAATGCACAAAATGATTTATGAGATGTTACATTATGATTTACAAAACACCAAAAACTATTTAGGGAATTGAAAAGAAAGAATTAGTACAAAGTACAAACCATTTGCATCCCAAGGACTTGATACTTCTCAAAAGCCTCAGGAGTAATGTACTCTGATACAGGCATGTGGCGCTTTGAGGGTCTCATATACTGACCAAACGTCATTACATCAACACCTGCTGCTCGTACCTTTTCCATTGTTTTAACAACTTGGTCTGGTGTTTCTCCACAGCCCAACATTATTGATGTCTTGGTGAGCGTACCAGCAGGAGCATAGTCCTTTGCCATCATTAAGACATCCATGGACTGCTTAAAGTTAGCACGGTGATCTCGTACAACACTCTGGAGCTCTTCAACTGTTTCAATATTATGAGCAAAAACATCTAATCCAGACTTTGCAACTTTCTCAACACAACTAGGATCCCCTCTAAAGTCCGGAACTGCAATAAAGAAACAAATTCAAGCAATGAGAAAGAACACATACATTAAGAAGGAAACTATTGAAGATACTCGAAAACCAAACCATTTGTTTAACCAATTTTACCTATGCTAAACAAATTCATTGGAATTCAGGATACATAAAATACTTTCTTTCCCAGCCAATACTGATTACCTGCTGAGAAGTCAGGATCTACAACTTTTAATACATGGAGGCTTTAATTATTGCAAGTGTTTACTATTTAAAACTAAAATCGGAAGTTACACTTGTTCAGTTAGATGATCAACAATGACCTGCATTATAAAGATACCAATTGGCTGAAAGAGTGCTGTGTTGTTCTACTAATTATATTCCCATCCCAAATCAAGAAAAGATAAAATG